GACCGGAGTGATTAAACCAGCTGGAGTGTTTATAAATGCAAATAAGCCAATTTGTCTCCAAATTATTGATGTATATTAGCAGTTCTACATTAACTCCAACGTTTAAGACCATTTATTGTTAAACTGTGTTGAACGATCAGCAGAGCTTTATTTTACTGTAAAGGAGGATTATTTTATTTTTACCTACAAATCTAATTCAGCTGTGGAGCCACAACAGGGCAGCAAAAGAGCCGCATGTTGCTGACCCCTGGTATGCCTGAAGAAAACAGCGCCAGAGAACTGCAATGTCTTCTGGGTTTCTCAAACGCTAGAGGGCGCTCCGGAGCGAGTCCAAAATGAATGGGTTGATATGGAGCATTTGAGTAAAATCATAGTTTATAAATGCTAAAACATTTTTAATGTAAAAGAATACATTAATTTCACAGAACAACATAAACATTTTAACACCACTGTTATAGTTTAAGAGCTTTTAAACTCGGGTTATAGGAGTTTAAAACGGCGCCTCGTATTCGTTCATGATGTCTGTGAGCGAGAACAGCCAATGAGCTGCTCTGCTCGCCAGCCAATCATCATGCTCTAGCAGTAAAGCCCGCCTCCTGCTGCCCAAAACCCGTTTGCTGTAGAAAAAAGGAAACATACAGGTAAGATTTCTGTTTTTTGAGTGAAACACATCCTTCTACTTTCTAAAATTAGAGAAACGTTCTGGGCGCGGGATTAGAAACTATTTTAACTTTTTGTTTTTAGCCATTGAGCTCCATTTGCTCCCATTCATTGAGGACTCACTCGCGGGCGCCCTCTGCTGTTTAGCAGTCCTGTTTTTGATATAACGGGGGGAACAGGAAGTGGCCAGGCTCCTCGTAAACCGGTTCTGACAGCGCAAGTATCTGCAGGTAAACCTGTTTGACTACTAACAGCCGTCAGTTTCAGTACTCCTTTAGAACGTGCCCTCAAGAACTGGGCCTTGATATTTACTCTATTAGTTCAAGTGAAGTTTGTTAGATGAGAGGCGAGGAACTGAGGAATCAAGTGGACATTAGCAGAAGAACTTGCCCAGAAATCACTGCGATCTGATGTTATTCCCTTTTCAAAGGACAGACTAGGCTGTTTATAAGCCATAGCAAGAAAACACCCATCCATCTTTCAAGCTGCTTATCCTCCTGGGTTGCGGGGTGCGCTGGAGCCCATCCCCACGTTCAACGGGCAGTAGGCAGGAAACGCCCTGGAGAGGTCCATTGCAGGACAGACACATACAATACACATTCACACACACACACACATACATACTCAGGGGCAATTTAGCATCTCCAACTGGCCTGACTGCATGTCTTTGGACTGTGGGAGGAAACCTTCACAGACACCGGGAGAACATGCAAACTCCACACAGAAAGGACGCTGGTCACCCGGCCGGGGAATCGGACCCAGGCCCTTCTTGCTGTGAGATGACAGTGCTACCCACTACACCAAGCAAGAAAACACTTCTATAGCATTAATATTTCAAAACCTTTTTCTACACTCGATTTGCAGTACCTGCTAGAAAAACCAGCATATCATCAACCTTGCATCTCCATTTTTGTCGTTTACTTTTTTCCATAATTTCATAAAGTTTCCATGAAGTTCCTGTTACCCTTTGCATTGTGTCAAAATTTCATCATGAACGAACTGATTGAAATGAGCCAAAATGATGTGGGAAACAATCTTGTTCCATTAACTTCCAATTAAAGCTAAGAATGTTTTTTACCTTTTTCTTTAAAAAAGTTACCCCTTTGTTGATGGGAGGTTTTGTTCTGATCATGACCGTGTGTTGTGTTTTGGATGCTGGATATGACCAAGCTGGGTGTCCAGCTGAACCAGCACCAGACCAGCATAAACCAGCACCGGACCAGCATAAACCAGCATAGACCAGCTTAGACCAGTATTGGATGTAAGCTGTTTTTCCAGCAGGGATGCTCATGCTGAATTTATGTAGCATCTGTTTGCAATGACCGGGGATACAAGCTAAAGGCTACACAGCCTGCAACAACAAAATAGATCATTCATCAACGATTACAGTCAGACACAGCAATTATTCACAAGATGTACATTGTACTGCATTACAAAGCTTGCAGGACTAGCTGATTAGCACACTGAGGCCTCATCTGAGTGATTAGTCAAAGCTGGCGAAGGCATGTTAAAAAGTTCTGAAATGGGCTACAGGTCAGCTGGACTCACCCAACACTGCGGGGAGTTAATATAATAGAGAACATCATGCTGTTTTCAGCGCTCATATTGTGAAATGGGCATATGAAACATGAATGAATAGCTTTTGTTTTCCTTTGTCCTTTGTTTTCATCAAGTTTTTTCTGCTGGGTGATCAATCAGGTCTCGACTCACAGTGGAACTGCTTTGCTTTGTGTGCACAATGAACTGAACGTCTGACACACCTACAGCACTGCGCAAATGTCAGAGACCTACGGAGCCCTGCTATAGATCAAAATAATGTGTGGCCATGACTTAGTAAAGTGTGGGAATGAGATCATTAAGTTGTGGCCACAACTTAGTAAGGCATGGGAACGAGATCCTAATGCGTGGCCACGTCTTAGTGAGGCATGGGAATGAGATAATTAAGCCTTGACCACAGCTCAGATAGGCATGATCTTGTTCCCATGCCTTAATAAGTTGCGGCCACAACTTAATTATCTCGTTCCCATGCCTTACTAAGTTATGGCTACAACCTAATTATTTCATTACCATGCTTTACTAAGTTGTGCCCATGACTTACTTATCTCGTTCCCACGCCTTACTGAGTTGTGGCCACGACTTAATTATCCCATTCCCATGCCTTACTAAGTCATGGCCATCACTTAATTTTCTCATCCCCATGACTTACTAAGTTATGGCCATGACTTAACTATTTCGTTCCCACATCTTACTAAGTCATGGCCATGACTTAATAATCTTGTTCCCACAACTTACTAAGTTATGGCCATGACTTAATTATCTCATTCCCATACCTTACTAAGCTGTGTCCTTGACTTAATTATCTCGTTCCCACGCCTTACTCAGTTGCAGCCACGACTTAATTATCTTGTTCCCTCACCTTACTAAGTTGCGGCCACGGCTTAATTAGCTTGTTTCCATGCCTTAATAAGTTGTGGCCATGACTTAATTATCTCGTTCCCATGCCTTACTAAGTCATGGCCATGACTTAATTACCTTGTTCTTACACCTGACTAAATTGTGGCCATTACTTAATTATCTCATTCCCATGCCTTACTAGGTTGTGGCCACGACTTAATTATCTCATTCCCACACCTTACTAAGTTATGGCCACCACTTAATTATCTTGTTCCCAAGCCTTACTAAGTTGTGTCCACAACTTAATCATCTCATTCCCACATCTTACTATGACACATATTTCTTTTTGTACAGGATGTCACTAGCAGGGCTCCATAGAGACCACCCTTCATTTATTTACTTTCCAGTCAAAACAGCCAACAAGTGCAAGTTATTAATTTTTCAACTTCAGGAAAAAAACAGAAAACATGTTTAACAGAAGCCTCAACGACTTCATACAGAATCTTATTTTGGAGTGTTTAGTGTTTCCACTGTTCGCCTTCACTGTGGCTTTCATTCTTTTTCAGGAGACCTGCATTCAGTTTTTCAAAGAAATCTGCAGTCATGTTTGTCCACAGCTCCAAAGTTCAGTCTTAGAAGTTGGTTACATTTTCTGTCTCCCACAGTCCAAGTAATTAATCACATTCAGTGGTGTTGAGGTCCGGACTCTGGGGTGGTCAGTCCATTGTTGAGCTTCTTTGTTTGATGTGTCCGTCTCCTTTTCTCAGTGAGGTTCTTCTTGATCAGCTACACATCCTTTCAGACCCACAGCGCTGAGTCGTCTCCTCACAGTGGAAGGATGGACAGAAACACCTGTGGATGTTTTCAGATCTGAAGCAGCTTGATTTTCTCCTCTCTCTCAAAGATGAAAGCTTTCAGTGCTGTTTATGTGATGGGGGCAGTTTTGGTGTCTACCAGGTCTTCCAGGTGGTTGTTAGGAGGCCCATTTTCTCTGTAGCTTTTAAGCACTTTTTGTATGTCAGATTTGGAAACTCTTGTTTTTTTTTTCACTTATTTTCATTTGACTATCACCTTTCTTATCTAAGATTATCTTCTATCTAATCTCCTCTGAGATACCCTGTACGTAATGACCTTCTGACTGGGACTTAAATAAGTGAAAGGTGGACACCGATTTCTGCACAGTACTGTATTAAACATCTTACCCTCTGGGGTCTGAGGGCATTTTCTCGATTTGTGCATACCTTCTTAAATTCTCCTTTAAGGGCTCTTCATATAACGATACTCATGGGTTTCATATCAAATTGCCCTGTTATCTTTGTTGCTACTTTCCAAAACGTCAGCAGCTAAAGTACGTAAACACTGTACACGCCATTTCACACGTGTCTCCGATGTGGACTGAATGAAGAATGAAGGGTTTCAGACATGATGGGTCAGTCTTTAGTTATTTCCTGAGAGTGTTCATCGGTCAGTTTCACACAAAATGTCGACAGACACACAAATTCACCAATTACACGCAGTGAGAGGCACATGACGGGTATCTCGGGCCCCACTTCACAGGCTCATAACTCCGGATGTGAGTCACTTATGATCTCGTGCTGAGATGGAATGGAAAGGGTGACTCTACAGATTCGGGAAATGCTTGAACTGTATTTCTGAGCTGTATTATCACAAAGGCAGAGAAACTGATACAGAAACATCCAATTTGACGCGTGAGCGAGTTCACGGACCCCAGAGGGTTGAACTCGGCTTCAGATAGCTATAAAGGCTCGTCACCTGTTAGTGATGTCTTTATGGGCGACCAGGTTCTGGAGGAAAGCCTGCAGGCCCAGCTGTCTCTCTTCCAGGAAGTTCATGTCATAATTGTCTTTGAACCAACGCTTGGGCGGCAGAGCAAGTCTGAATTTGGGGAAGATCTCTTTGAGCTGACACACACACACACACACACAAAGAAGATCAGTGTGAGGCAGTGACTGTGCCTTTATTACTCTACTGTCACCTGACCCATACCACTTCCTCCTACCTTGTCATTAAGCCTGGAGAAGTCAGTGTATCGTCTGAAAATCACCCAGCTCTCGTCAGGCGCCCTCCTCACCAGTATCTTATAGACCTATAACAGACAGAGATGAATTCGTCATCTAGTTAACGATGAATAGTTAGGAAAGTTCAGTTTTACATGGATCATGATTTTCACAGTCAGTCGTTTTCCAAAGCAACTTTTTGGTAGCGTTTCAAAAATAGGTTTGAACTTCCACGTCTAACATCATGTGCGCATGACTGTTACACAGACCCACTTCATTTATTTTCAGAAAGGTTTGAGCATGACAGAACTGCATTCTGAGACAGAGAAGAAGGTATGCCTACTACATCTTCTACAGCAATTCAATTAAAGTACAGGCATCAGACTGATATGGTGGGAAATGCTGGAACCAATAACAAATGAAAAAACTGATTTCTATAATAAATGAGGCCTGAAATATCACAAATATCTTGTAGCATGTAATTAAAAGCAAAGGTGAAGTAGGTCAAGTGACAACAGTACATAGCCTTAAAACAGCTAGCTTTTACAATGAAAGGATAAGTATGTGCATTTTACTATAGTTTTACATGGCTGTCTTAACCCCTTACCAAGCCATGTTTTATTACACACTTCTATAACCTAAGAAAAGCTCCATTAGTTTGCACTGAAGTCCCTGTAGTTACTGAATAATAAGACTTAGTATGTAATAAGCCTGGAATGTTAAGGGGTTAATGGTGAATTACACTGATATTTCTTCATAATTCAGTCATCAAGTAGTAAACAAAGTCATTCAGAGTGATTTGATGTGAAATGGTTCATTGTAGAGAAAGTTACTGACGTCTTAACAGTGGTGGTGATAGGAACCAGGAGTCAGGATGTCTACAATACAAATATAGCCATTTTATTTACCATCCAAAACCACCAGGGAACCTAAATGTGTCTCCTGAATGTGTAAATGTAATGTTGATGATGCTAAAATAGTCGTGAATCTGAAAAAATACATTTTCTTTGGGGACTACTTCGCCTTACAATGCACTGCATGTACGTCTCTGCCATTAATATTTATTTAAAAAATATATTTTAGACCAAAATCTTACCCCAAAACTACCATAAACAATGTCTCTCATGTCTTTTAAACTCTTCAGACATCTGGTTCCCATCACCACCACTGTGAACAACTCTGACTCTGTAAGTTTCTCTAGAACAGAGCATTTCACACCAAACCACTCTGAATGACTCTGTTTGCATCTTAAAGGTTCAGTCATGCAGAAATATTGAAAAGCTGGTGGAATTCCCCTTTAAGTGATGTGTTTCAGGACATTTTAAAGCTTTTAAAAGAAAGAAAATTGTGTTAAAAAATAAAAACAAGGCATCGCACCATCTCTACTGATTTACCACTGTATTAAGGTTTTTATATCAGATGGACGACACCTTTAACTCAGAACCTTACCGTAAACTTGGCCCTTTCCTCCATGACCTCATAGCCAACTAAGGTGGCTACAGCCAGTCTGTCCTGCAGACTCTCTCTACTGGCTCCACTCTCCGAACTGTTTATCCTCCTCAGCCCTCGCTTCACCCATATGTTCTGGGACGATGCATCAGAGCTGGCGGAGAGGTTGCTCAGGCTGGAGGTTCTCCTGTACGCGAGTCTGGAGTGACGGACAGATGGACACCTTTCCACGGGGTAGGGGACAGGGACAAATGGGCCAGCCATCACTACAGCTTTAAGGAAGAAATTAAAGCGTTGTTATAAAGGAAATCTTTTCTTGAGTAGGAGTACAAAAGTACTCAGCCAAAAGACGTCCACAAGTTCTGAGTCCTCTTTAGAAGAACAGTGGAACTTAGTACATTCAGAGTCTGTTAACATAGTTTGTTAGGTGTTATTTTTCTATTTTAGGAAGTTTTTACAGCTGCAAAGTGAGAAATTACTACAAATTACTACACTGAGGCCACAAATTACTATACTGAGGCCATGAATTAATATACTGAGGCCATGAGTTAAGTTTTGTCAACTTGCAGCCTCAATATATTGATTTGTGGCCTTAATATTGAAATTTGTTGCCTAAATATAGTGACTTGTGGCCTCAATATATAAATTCAGGGCCTCAATATAGTAATTTGTGGCCTCAATATAGTAGTTCATGGCCTCAATATAGCAATTTGTGGCCTCAATATAGTAATTTGTGGCCTATATATCATAATTTGTGGCCTCAATATATAAATTCAGGGCCTCAGTATAGTAGTTTGTGGCCTCAATATCGCAATTTGTGGCCACAGTAGTAGTTCATGGCACCAATATAGCAATTTGTGATCTCAATATAGTAAATTGTGCCCCCAGTATAATAAATTGTAGCCTCAAAATATAACTTGTGGCCTCAATACATAAATTGGTGGCTTCACCTTATTAAAACGTAATCACCATGTCATCTTATTGGCTCCATACAGAAATGTTAGCAACAACAAAGCAGTCCAGAAGATGAACCAACACAACAGAATGAAATTCAACCCAGGAAAAAAAAAGAATTAAGCTGTAAAAATGACGTTACAGTGAAACTGAATTAAAGCAGATTCCTCTCCTCATAAACATACTCGTGTACAGTTAACAGCATTAGCTTCCATTAGAAAATACATCAAATCAAAATTGTACTTAAGTACATGTAAATAAGGCAATACAACTTGTTTTAGTTAAAGATCAACGCATTTGAGGTATCAGAATCTAGCAGGTTGCTTACCAGCAGCAGATTAGCTACGGAGGCTAATCAGCGATGTTCGGGAGAGCCGGAGCGAAATGACCGTTAAATGGCCGAGTTTAATGCGAGATTGTTGGTCCAAAATCAGCTGACAGCTTCTGCCTTTACCCCACCCGCATTCCGCCCCCTCTTCTAGGATTGGCTAGTCGCACCCCTGCTTCTGCGCTAGGATTGGCTAGTAGTTCATGCTCGCAGGCCAGCCCCGTGGAATTGGCCAATCGTAGCGGAGTTAGCGTGACGGTACTAGCCAATCCAAGCCAAGAAGGGCGGGACGTGTGGGAATACGGGTGGGATAAGAAGAACCCCGACATACTCACACAATCGCTGGAGTGTTTTCATTTAGAGGCGGGACAGTGAGGTCTCAGTATGATTGACAGCGAACGAAGCCAATCAGATCATGGGAAATATCGCCCTCGCTAAAAAACGGTGTGAAATATTTATTTTGATTGTTTAGCTTGATGTATTCGGTTCATGTTGGAGCCATGCAATAAAAAAATCAAGCAACTCACAAGACCAAAGCCTCCTTTAAAGGGACACTCTGACCAAAATTTAAAATTTAACCATGCTACATCTGTTGTATATCTCCCCTTATCCGACAGTAGCACCACAGTAATTTCTAGAGTGTGATTTTCCAGTTTAAAGACAAGGAAAACCACCTTCTGTTGGTGTATCTTACAGGTGGGAGGAAAAAATTCTCAGCTCCTTTAGCGTGGACTTGTGGTGGCGGAGTGTTTTGATAGATAGGCCTTATGTTATTGCGGTTGTATAACTGTAGTAACTGTTTTCAAACCATCATTACGATGGAGAGAGCTGATAACTCAAACTCCAGAAATGATTTGGCACATAAACAGTGCAACAAGCCAAAAGCTAAAGCTAGCTTGGTATCTGGCTATCTAGATATCTTACCACTGTTTAGCTTCTTTTCGCTGACTTAAAGTCAAAAAACAAAATGTGCATTTTATACTGAATAAAGATAGAATTGCTATTTTGATTTTATTTTGTTCAATGACAGAGCGAAGAGTTAAGGCACTGATGCTACAGTAACACTAGCTTGGTTGAATGTATTAGCCTGTAGCGTAGTAGCTAAGCTAGCTGTCTGGACTGGATGACACAACGGAGGCTACCAAAGATTGTATGATGTAGCCTATTTTGCGTAATGCATGCTGGGTATTGTAGTGAAAGAACATTGATGAAAAAATGAAATCTGTATAAAAATTAATTTGTCAAACCAATGAGGTTGAGGGATACAGTGCTGCACTACACAATACTGTATAACACAGCAAATAACACACTAAGCTGTAGTGTTTATGACAGACCGCCCCTGTAAGTATAATAGTGGGTGATCAGGTTAAGATATAAAATATTTTATTATACACACATCATCTAATCCACCCATCCTTCTGGGACACTGGAGCCTATCCCAGCTGTCATTGGGCGGAAGGCAGGATACACTCTGGACAGGTCGCCAGTCCATCGCAGGACAGACAGACAGACATACACATTCACACCTAGGGCAGTTTAGCATGTCCAGTTGTCCTGATTGCATGTCTTTGGACTGTGGGAGGAAACCAGAGAACCCGGAGAGAACATGCAAACTCCATACAGAAAGGACCCTGGTCACCCGGCCAGGAATCGAACCCAGGCCCTTCTTGCTGTGAGGCGACAGCGCTCACTGCGCCACTGTGCCACCAAATAGTTTATCATATTTTTTATATTCATAAAAACACAGACAAGGCACAAAGTTAAGAAAAAAGCTAATAGGACACTTTTTCTATATCTTTTCTCATATGTATATTATTATTATATTAAACGTTATATATTTCTTTTTTTTCCCACTATATATAATATGTTATAGGGGGAGCTAATAGGGGTACATAGGGGGAGCTGGAGATTCCCAAAAATCTGCTGAAGATTCCCTGAAGCCTATGACATCATGGGAATTCCCAAACCCTTTAGGCTCACTGTAATGCCAGGCCTAGGTTAAAGCTAGCTCAGGTGCATTACTGTATTACCACATTAACTGAAAGGCTTGGTCAGACCTCTAGCCTTAATGTGGAGCTCTGGTTTGTTCTGAAAGTGTTACGGCTCTGGATAATGTGATGAAACACTGGGTCTAACTGTGGGTCACAATCACAGATCAGACCAGCTAAAGCCGATAAGCCGCTGTTATTTTTATCTGACGGAGGCTGTTTGGCCAGGAGGTCATCTAAAACAAGAATTCCAGGAATGTCTTTCAGGAAACTCTCCTCGCTGGATTTAGTTGTGAACTCTGAATTTGACAGACTTTGCTTCGTCAAGTGTGCCTTCATTATTCATAATATAGATGAAAAGTATTGTTCATTGTGGAGATATATATTATTTGGTGAGAGCTAAATGCACACATGCATATATAATAAATCTTATACTTTTAATGGATTGATTTTTAAATGTCTACACACACATCTATTTTTTTTTATTCCAGTGATTTCAGTATTTATCTCTTTATTAACACTATTATTCGTATGTCCATTTTTTTTTTATCCACAGTGTAAATGGAGTGATAAACCTGAACCCTGTGCTGAATTTTTATCTTTATATGGTTGCTTAAGTTCCTGGTGTGTGTGTTATGTTTTAAAGAGTTGCTGCCTCTTCCTATATTTGCTGCCTCTTCTCTGTATTTATTGTAAATAAATAAATAAATATATATATATATTTTTTTTAAATGTTTTGCTTTCAATGAAAAAGCGCTGACGAGCGGCTGTGATTTATGCTCTGACCAATCACAGTGACTTATTTCTCCTGGGGGCGTGGCTTTCACGAAAACGGGTGCAAAGAGAAAATAAAAAAGCCACCCGTTCTGATGTCTCCGCCTCTCTTACCCACACGCACCTGCGACACGAAAAAAGGAGAATCTGAGAGAATGGACAGCCAAAATCGCAACCGTGAGCGCGAGGCGCCATTCTGAACGACTGCGCTTGACGCCGCCGCGTGCCGCGTTCGACTGGCGCGAGGGTAACGGCTGCTAACGGCGCTGCTGCGGTGTACGGGGACAGGGACGGGGACAGGGACGGGGACGGGGACGCTCCGGCTCTCGCCTTTATTTTGGGTTGAGGGGCGTAGCTGTGTGTGTGAGAGAGACACGGAGTGAGTTGGTTGGAAGCGCCACGCAGATTCACCGTAAACTGTCGTGTTTTTTCGTGAAAAGTTCCGAACATTCGTCGCGCGCTCTGCTGCGCGTTAGCTGACACATTAACGTTTACCTAAAAAAAAACAGCCGTTAAATTCGACCCAAAACTGCCGCGGCTGAGTTTTGTTTTCGTCAAAGTTCGACCGTTTCTCGTGTTTTTCACTTCTGTCGGTTCACGTTAGCAGGAGCGCTGAGCGCTAACCGTAGCCGTACCGTTCCCCCCGCCTCTCCTCCCTCAGACATGCCGTTAGCCAGGCGCCGGGGCTCGGCCGCGTCTCTCGCGGTGGTGCCGCGCGGGGACTTTCGCTAGGCAGCGGCGGAGAAACACTCCTCCTCCACCTCCTCCTCCACTCGGTTCCGTTTTCGGTCGCCATGGAGCCGGCGGGCTGCGTGAACATCGGCAGCCTGACGAGCGCTCTGCCCGTGATCCCCTACCGCAAGCTGACCGACCTGCACTACATCAGCAAAGGCGGCTTCGGCACCGTGTTCCGGGCTCAGCACAGCGACTGGAGGACCACCGTGGCCATCAAGTGCCTGAAGCTGGACTCGCCCGTCGGGGAGAGGTGAGCTCAAGGACTCGGGGCTTCGGTTCGGCCTTTTGCACAGCAGCGGCCGAGGCCTGTGGAGTGGAGTTTGTTTTCAGTGACTCCTCGTCTGTTGACTTGGACTTGAGCTGTGCTAGTACCTGAATCTGGGCCAGACTAGAACAGCTAAAGTACACTCTTGAAAGATGGTTCTGTATAGAACCACTAACACTCAGATAACCCTTTGCGTGATGAAAGTGTTCTTTGCTTTGTGAATTGGCTCTTCAGACTGATGCTATACATGCTTATACATAGGACCACTTTGAAAAGGGTTCTGCATAGCACCAAAAAGGGTTCTGCCATTGTTACAAGCTTGACATTTTAACAATAGAAGAACCCTTTTTGGTGATGCATGAAATCTAACTATGTCCTAGAAACGTGAAGAACCATCTTTTTTTAAGAGTGCATGAGGTCCGAAAACTCGTGTGCAGAGTTCCCCTTTAGAACTAACTTACAGTAGTACAGTACGTCCATCATCTGTCAGTCTGTCAGCTAAAAAAACTGAAGTTTGGCTTGGGTTTAGATCCCTTGGGTCTGAAGCAACATGCTGAAGCTCCAAAGTGAGAAGCAGTCCAGATGCTGTTCACCACTAGAGCAAGATAAAATGAAACTTTTAAAAAAAGAAATTGGGAACTGGACAAAAATGGCTCTGAGAAAGTAGATTCCTTTCCTCATGAATACAATGAGTATTATGAGTAAAAGCAAAAGTATTCACAGCTGAAAAGTACAGACTAATACAAACTGTACTCAAGCACATAGAACGGAGTAAATGGAACCAATTACTGTTAGGTTCTGAGCACAGATTGCTCAGTGTGCGTGTCCTCTTTCAGTATAGGTGTAATGTCATATTGGTGTAGACCAGAGGTCGGCAACCCAAATGTTTGTCTTTTTAACAAAAATTAAACCACGTTGGGAGCCACAACATTTTATGTCCATTTTACCATCTTGGCTGTAAATATGTCTCAGTACGTGCTGATGTGCTAGTATAGGCTAAAAAATATAATATAAACTAAAACACAGACTTACTTTGCTCTGCTTTAAGCTTTAGCTCAGCTATAGCTGCTTTTCTCACATCTCCGGCAGGAAACTTTTCCGCAAAAGTGTAATAGTTTCTTGTAAAATGTCTCTCAACGTTCGACTTTTTACGAGGCTGAAGTCGCTTCTCATTCGCCAGCTTCTTGTTAGAATTTTTCCGTTCCACCTTAAATGGAGCCTGAGGCGGCAGAATGTAACTGCTGCACTATTTAAGGTGGAACGGGAGAATTCAAAAAAGAAGCTGACGTCAGCTTTGTGACTTTTTAGTGTTTCTCGTTGCAGATTAAACATATCAGGAATCCAGCTGGAATGATTATAAATGCAAATAAGTCCATTCAGCTCCAAATGATCGATGTTCGTCTTAAATCTTTCTCTTTGGCGTTTCATTATCTACTTACTAGTAAGATTGTTGTCTGCGTTGCTAAGGGGACAAGCAGTTTGCGCGCCAAACTTCAGGGTAAAAGGTTGATGAATTAGCAGATACAGCTCATATTAACTCCAGCATTTATTGTTAAAACTGTGTTAAAACGATCAGCAGAGCTTTATTTTACTGCAAAGGAGGATTATTTTATTTGTACCTAGCAATCTAATTGTGGAGGTCAGTAAAAGAGCTACATGTTGCCGACCCCTGGTGTAGACGGTGGTTACGTTTCTAACAAGTCAGTGTAATGCACAACAGTTGATGATACACCAACCAAAATATCAAAATTAATATAATAATCAGAACTAATTAAACAACTTTGTCACTGCTGTCACGCTTGACTAACACTTTGGCTGTTGGGGCTTGTCTGTTGTAAGCTCTACTCAGCTGTTTCTGAGAGGGGGAATCCCGCAGACCTTACATAATTTTAAACTTCTTTGCAGAGAAAGGAATTGTTTACTGAAAGAGGCTGAGGTGCTTCACAAGGCCCGGTTCAACCATATCATTCAAATCTTCGGTGTGTGCAACGAGCCGGAGTTCTTCTGCATAGTCACAGAGTACATGACCAATGGATCTCTGGATGAACTTCTGCATGAGGTAAGTTTTCTGAGCCAAGCACATTCTTTGACCGCTAATTTTTTTTGGTGGTCGGTGGGGCAGAGGGGTGATTGGGTTTAAATGCTTACAGGGCATTCATTGTAGGCTTTCTTCCTTATTTGGTGTTTGTAACATTTTCTCAACTTTCTCCATCTTTCTCATGTGTTCTCTCTCTTGTGTGGCAGAAAAACATGTACCCGATGGTGGCCTGGCCACTGAGGCTTCGCATTCTGTATGAAATTGCACTAGGGGTCAACTTCCTCCATAACATGACCCCTCCGCTGCTCCATCACGATCTGAAAACACAAAATATTCTTCTGGATGGAGAGTACCATGTGAAGGTTTGTGAGCTTGTCTGCCATTACATTTGTCCTTTTTTTCACCACTTCAAAAGTGATAAACATGCTTCAGCTCCAAATTCAACACCTTTGTTTTAGGGAGTGTTTAAGAAACTGGCATTTCAGTCGAAAGTCTGTTGACTTTCTGTTCTTATTTGGAATGTGAGCCTGTGTGGGAGTACTTCCTCTTGAAATCCATGACTCCTAGTTTTGATATCCATGAGTAACCTTTTCCAAAAACCTCATGATTCCTTGCTAAACTTCACTTTTATTTCCACAGTGGGCACTTTTGGTACTCCTTAACCTCACTGACTATATTTCTGAGCCATTACTCGAAGAGAGTAGGCTCTTATTACCCTGTTTCATCTTCATATGTAAAGTAGAGGGTGATTTGCATTTGAACACAACCTTGATTATTCGAGAAACAGCCTTCTGTAAACCTCTTATATTAATAAGGATGTACTTAAAAGCTTTTAAGTGAGTTCTTTGCTTGATTGCAGGACACCAAATGATTCTTGAGTCATCACTTGGGTTTTATCTGAATGCGGTTGCTATATTAGGGAGTCTTGACCCCATAACCTTGTGGAGCTTCTCATTTAATTTGAGTTTTTTGTGTCTTCCTTGGCAGATTGCTGATTTTGGCCTTTCTAAATGGCGCCAGCTCTCAATCAGCAAAGGGTCTGGCTCAAAGCCTGCCGAGATGGGCGGCACAGTCATCTATATGCCGCCTGAGGAGTACGAACCCAATAAAAGCCGGCGAGCTGATGTCAAACAGGACATGTACAGGTCTGCCTCCTACTGATATAATGTACAGAAAATTTACAGTTGTATGGCAGTCGTCCAATGACTTAGTTGTAAAATGTTTAATGTAGTTTAAAAGGAAAACAAAGTGGATTTTTTTGTTCGGATTTGACCAAACATTCAGCACTGGAAAATTACCTTTTTGTGCTTTTTGTTTTGGGCTTTTTGTAGTGAAAGCTAATAAGATAAGCTTATGAAGATCAGCAGCAAATCAAACACTGTGAACTGTATTTATTCAAGAGTGAATCATTGCTTCTCTTTGAAAAGCAGAGGCAAAGCAAATGCCTTATCTGATAGACAAGTTTACTGATTAGCTGTTTAGAAAGCCAGTGTTATCATATGTTCCAGTTGGCTTTTTTTTCCAGCTCTGTCTGATAGCAGCGGGAAACTGAAGAAAAGTTCTCTGGCTACCTGAAAAATGCTGTCCCTGGCCTGATTTTCCTTAAATGACTGGATTGATTACAACTTAGTAGTTAATAGGCGGAATGCCTTTTATGGCTGTTATTATAAACTATGTCCAGTGGTGGTGTCCAGTCAGATCTCCAGTATTTAGGACTAGTACCATTTCCTCCCCAGTCCATCTGGTCCATATGTTGAAACTAAACTGCAAAAAGTATGTGCTTTGAACCAGCGCAATTACATGTGTGTGCCTATTCAGCTTGCAGCAGTTTTGCTCTACCTAGAAGTGCTGTATTTTGTTTTGGCCCAGACTGCCATACAAAGTGGACTTCAGAAGGAAAATAATAATTACAACAAGAAAAACAAGATATGGGCCCTTTAATTGCATTTTTTTTCCAAACAGACCGAGCAGACCTTACTATCCTGTTAGTTAATGGCTCTTCCCTTTTGGCATGAATTCCTCTGCATTCTCCGCCAGTCTTTTGACCAGACTGTCCAGCTCATCTGCCACCTCATATCCAGTACTAGTTGTGCTTTTGCCGAGGTGGTCAGACAGCAGGCGTGGGATAGTCAGAGTCCTGAAACGATTACATTTTCATTGTACTGTGTCACACATTTTTGCATTTCTGTTGGGCTTCCAGCGATTTCTGAATGCATTCCCAGAACAGTGAACAAGGCTGACAAGCAGCACTCTGCATTCACCACCGCTGACCACAAAGTCCAGTGTGGCCACACCTGCACGGACTCCTCCCTTTCTAAAGGGATGTTTTTTCCAGGCCTAGTTCAAGTGGTTCAGGTCTGTTCTGACCAAGAAGTGAGCAGAGAGTCCGGCACTTCCTCCAGCACATGACCAGACTTGTCTTGCGTTACACCCCAGTTTGTCCCAGATTACTCATAGAGGCCTGTTGAAATCTGTGTACCAAAGCGAGAGTTTTTCTTCCTCTAAGGGGAGTCCCTAGTGGGTAAGCTTGGCAGTTCTTCAGCCATTCACTGTGCTGCTCTCTGCTTCCTCTTTCAGTTATGCCATCATCATGTGGGAAGTCCTGTCGCGACGGATACCGTTTGAAGGTAGTGGAAGTGTTTTAATAAGTCGACTTGTTGAAATATGAAAGCCAGCAGACGTGACACATGAGTTTTTAGCCTTTAGTCATGTGAGCGTTGTCTGTTTCTTTGACTCTGTAGAGCATTAACAGATTAAATTGTTTACATTTCCCTGTCTTTAATTGGAAGGCAGGCAGCATGTTTTGTGATTGACAGAGTTATAGACAGCTGTGGTCAGTATGAGCTACGTGACTCTGCCTAACATGACAAAGCAGTGTTTCGTAACATGCTGAGTAATTGTTTCTCCATCTGTGCCAGATGCCACCAACCCCATGCAGATCATGTTTAGCGTTTTGCGGGGACTGAGGCCCGATACAGGACCGGACAGTCTGCCGACGGACATCCCCAGCAGGGAGACCCTCATCAGCCTCATGACCAATGGCTGGACCGCCAACCCAGACGACCGGCCCTCTTTCCTCAGTGAGTCTCTCACATTTCACCTTGAAAACATTCTTTTAAACTTTTGAACATTCTCTAACGAACACCATTAAACCTACAGTGTTCTCCCCCCATTCACACTGGTCTAGAATGTTCTCCTTCCTTTCTCACTGGTCTAGAATGTTCTTCCTCCCATTCGCAATGGTCTAGAATGTTCTCTCCTCCCATTCACATTGGTCTAAAATGTTCTCCTTCCATTCGCAATGGTCTAAAGTATTCTCCTTACGTTTACACTGGTCTAGAACGTTCTCCCTTCATTTGCATTGGTTTAGAATGTTCTCCTCCCATTTGCAGTGGTCTACAATGTTCCCCCCCTATTCACACCGGTATAGAACGTTCTCCCCTCATTCACACTGGTCTAGAATGTCCTCCCACCCATTATTACATTCACACTGGTACATTTGGCTTATCTGTTCTGATTCTGGAATAGCAAAAAGCCAAAGTGACCTTATCTAATTTGGCCCATATTTCACCTCTTACTAAACTGTGCTATATTTTGAACGCAGAGCTCTTCCCAGAATTGTAAATTACAGTGTGTTTTGTAACAGCCACAGAGCAGCCTGCCTATTTTTACCTTCCCTTATTGAGGGCTTCCTAATCCAAAGAGCCTTTTCCTTACAGTGGCCCGTTTTACTTGCTGTGTTTTTGCCACTTTTTTCTTTGGTTCCTCTTTCTGGTGGTGCACAAGTTTTCCTCATGCATCTTCTTTTTCCTCTTTTTAGTACTTTCTGTCAGGCAGTCAGTTAAAAGGTTATTTGTAGTTGTGTGTGGTGTCTTGGTTTGTGCTTGTTCATGTACATTCTCACTTTTCCCACAAGGCTGTCTTATCGAACTGGAGCCCATGTTACGGAGGTTTGACGAGATTGATGTCCTGGAGGCAGTACTGGAGGTCAAAAGGTCAAAGGTAAGTTTATGTCAAAAGAGGAGAAGATATACATTTGTGTCTCTGAGATGATTTAAATTCTAATTTAGCTCAATTCAGAGGCATAATGGGAATTGTACCGTTACGAATCCAACTTCTGTCAGACCTTTCTGAATGCAAAGAGAGCCACATGACAGATTCTGAGGTTTTCAAAAGATTTCACTTTCATTTTCCACAGTGGCTCCAAAATACAATATTCCTCTTTTTTTTCTCTTTCCTTTAGTTTATGCGGCCGCTGAGCAGCAGCCAGTCGATACCATCAAATGGGAAACCAGTGGGAGAAAAGTGTTTGAAGTTGCAAAGTACTCCCTGGCCAGTCAGTTCCTATGTCTTTTTTTTTTCCACTTAGATACATTTAATGATATCTGCTCATTTTTTGTGTTTGATAAGACCTTTTAAAGACTATGCTTCTGCTTAAAAAGTTGTGAATATTTTATAACTTTCTCAGAAAATTGTTTGGGATCATGCAAAACTACAGTCATTTTCAATTTAATGTTGATTTTATTGTGAAAAGAAATAATGTTGTTATTCCCTTCCAGTGTCGATTAGCTTGTTGTTTGGTGTATAACCATTTTACGACAATTTTGTGACAGGACAACAGCTCCACATCTGGATCAGGGTCCTGCTCCTCCCAGGAGACAGATATGTCCCAGCCAGGCTTTCTTACCATCTCAAATCCTTCTCATGGTAATTCATTCACACTGTTCAGCACCTCAGCTCTTTAATTGGCCTTCTAAATGTAGAATTCTCTATGTACTTAACTGTACCTTATGCCTTCCTTCTCTCTCTCAGGTACACACAGACCCTTGTTGTCAGTTTTGTCTTTGCCCTTGGATGCTCCAAAGCCTCTGATTGATCAGAGCTCTCAAAACAACCTGAACCCAGAGTACCAGACGGCCCAGCCCATCTCTGCATTCAACATCCCTGTTAAACCCCACCCTCCTCAAAGTGAAAGCGACCTGCCCCTAAATATCCACCCACTCACCCTGCAGACACACCAACAAGGTATGTCACATGCTACATTATTAGTACCCAGAGCTCTAACTACTTTAAGGCGCACACAGGTGTTCAGTTGTGCCCACACACAGCTCGTATAATCTCTATAGAAAAGCACTGACCAGTAGAATAGGCCACTATGGGTTACTAAGGGTTACCCTGCCCAGTGCCAAGCATCGGCCAGACGGGTATAAAGACCTCCAGTATTGTGCTGTGGAGCGGTGGAACTGCGCTCTCTGGAGTGACGGAGCATCGTCAAAGTGCTGTTTGGGATCCAAAACAAAAATAATTCAGCATTTATACCTGCCCTCACCAGTAGACATGTGGCTGAATGCAATCAAGTCCTTACAGCAGTGTTCCAACATGTAGTGTAAGGTCTTCCCAGAAGAGTAGAAGCTGTTACTGCAGCAAAAGGGGGCCAAACTCCATTTTAATACTCCTGATTTCAGAAGAAAGTTAGATGAGCAGATGTTTGTAAACTTTTGGATATGTAAATCTCAAACGGTACAAGCAAAATGAATCTATGAACCCACAGAAGCTGAGAGAAGCTTAGTTTATTATTCAAAAAGTAACTACATAAGTAACTGTGTAACTGCATATTAATTACATAGTTATTTGCAAAAGAACATTTCATTTTCTACTTTTTAATGCTACATTATGTATCGACAGCTTCAAGGTTGCCGTTCTTTTTTACCTCATTCTTTGAGTGACTGAAACCTGTGTTTTTGACAGAATTTCTCCAGTTGTTAAATGAGAAATAATTAATATTGCATCGCAGTGTATGTTTTGTAATAACTGCAGGTGATAAGGGCAGGTGAATTTCCCCCTCGTGGCCAATTTCCATCTTTTAGCTTGGTCTCCCCATCACACAATGCTACCACGCTGGGGGGGGTGAAAGGCTAGTATGTGCTTCCTTTGAGGCACATGAAGCCAACAGATGCCCACATTGGCTGATTGGCTGAATAGTGGGAAGAAAGAGGAGGCGCCAAGCCACCAACCAAAAGACAGTGAGGTGAAATATGCTGACTTGGACCCCTGGTCACTGATAGCGGTGGCATTGCAGGGGGTTGAATTTGCGATCTGACAACAGGGCCAACAGCTAGACAGTTGCATCACTCCTGACTTACAAGGGTTAAGTCACTTGTTCAAGGTTATTTCAAGAAAGTGAAAAATAAAAATATTTTTTTTCTGATCGACTCCCTGTCCTTTCCCCATGTTCTCAGACTTCCCGTCGCCGTCGGACAGCCAGGGCCCGGCAGCACGCTGGATTAGTTTGCGGCGGGAGGAGGTGGTACGGCAGATGACTGAGGCATGTTTGAACCAGAGCTTGGACGCACTGCTGGCCCGTGAGCTGCTGATGCGCGAGGACTACGAGCTGGTGTCCAACCAGCCCACGCGCACTGCCAAAGTGCGCAAGCTGCTGGACACGTGTGAACGCCACAGCGAGGAGTTTTGCCGCATAGTAGTGCGGAAGCTTCAAGAGAACAAGCAGATGGGCCTTCAGCCCTTTCCAGACCTCACCTCTCCAACACCTCCCCCACCCTATAGCGCCCCCAGCGCTCCTTTCCTCTCCACCTCCTACAACAACACCCGCAACATGTTCTGATCCTCCAAGCCCTTTCAGCCTTCCTCTGAACTGGACTCCTGTGAGGTTTGCGTCTTTTGGAATAGACATCTCCTGAAAGATGGATCACGTTTTTTGTTCCTTTTTTCAGGTTGTTTTTGCTTTTTTTTTGTGATTGGATACTTGCCTTTGGGGTACATTGTTGGAATTTTTCACATCAGCCCTTGTCAGAGCTTCTAGGCCCTCTCTCCTCCTGATGTGGAACTACAGCCCCAGTTATTTCATCAGAACTGGTTGCATTTGCTGTTGTGGGACACAAGGTTGTTGGAACATTTGATCGGCAAATATGAACATAGCGAAAGCTTTCTGTCCCACTGACTTTGCCAGCATTGTTTTGCCACGACTCGGTGAAAACCTCTTTTATTCAGCAAATTTTGTCTTCCTCTTGAAACCCATGACTTTTCCCATGACATGCACTTAAACAAAGCTCTTACAATGTAGCTTTTTTACGCTGTCCGAATCAGTTGGCTTTGCTGAAATTTATTATTTTTTCCTTCATAGCAGTTTTAGGCCATTTATTAGTCTGATGAAATTTGTAACAGTTGTCATACCTAAAATAATATTGTTAAAGTCAACCAGGTATCTGGATTCTGATCAAATTTAGTTTGGCTTCTTGTGTTTGTCTGTATGGAAATGGCAGCTTTTGAATAGCGTGCACAGTCAGCGGCAGTGTCTGAAATTGAAACTTGCTTGTCATGTACAGTTTTAGGTTTCGGCCGTTCTGTAGCTTGCCTCACCTCAGTACACTACTTATTACTCACAGTGATCCGTGATTTAACACACCAAAATAAGATACAGGTTTCCTGAGTGGAGCATCGCATTGTTGAAATGGTGCCAGAGGACGCTAATACTAATGAAATTAGCCTTTACTAATGCTGTTGCAAATTATTCAAGCATTTGAGAAAGAATGCACATTGATGTGCAATGCTTACGTTGGCATTAACTAAGTTTAAGCATCAGACGCATGGCAGGTTACCAAGGCACTGTAGCAGCGCGCAACAGATTCCTCCATCCAGAGCTGTGATGTAAAACCTCATACTTTCTCACCCGCAGCAGTTTGAGTATAGGAACTACTGAGCAAGTAAGTGAATAAGCGATTTCAAGCACTCTTATTGTTTTGCAAGTTAATATTTACCAGCCTTACGGACTTTTTTCCAGGAGGAAATGGGATTCGTCACTCTATTTGGATGAATTTTTCCATTCTTTGGAATACCAGACATGGCTTGAATTTATAGTCAATCTGTTGGAAACAGTAAGTAGATGGACACGAGGAGACAACTTCAACCGAACAACCGTGCTTTCTGCAGCAAAACGTTAACACTGTAGCAAACTGTCAACTTTCTCTGTTCGTTTCAAAAGGACAGACAAACCAATGCAGCCAGCCAAGCACTTCTGATATACTATATCTATGGACTGAACACTGGTGACCGAATATGCTGCTCTGGGGACTGTGGCTCAGTGCCTTAGCCAGCAGAGCCCATACTGAGAGGAAGAGTGCTGCAACACGTCTCCGGATGTCATGTTTATGAAAGAATATTTAGTCCTGACTGTAATAAGGGACTGTTGAGTCAGATCAGCTGGTTCTTGCCATTTTTAACCTTCACAGCCAGTTCCACCAGTACCTGTTGTGTCTTTGCGTTGCAACATTGTAGAATGTGTCAAAGTTTACACCAGAAGAGCCAGATAAAAAGGTTCTTCGCATACCTTTTTTCGTTCTCACCCTCCATGCTGTTTTTGGCATGTGGCCTAGTTGTGTTCTGAGCTTCACTGGATTGGATTAGCAGAATGAACTCTTAATGCTTCGTGGGTAAAGCCACCTAATAGCTGCGTTCCAAAGCCTAGGCTGCAGCCGAGATGTGCGTTGTCTACGAAGACTCCTTAGTAGCCTGTTGGTCACACCAATGGAACAGACCTCACGAGGCTGCGTGGTGACATCACCAGAGCGGCACGAAACTCCTGAGGGAACTGGTGAAAGAAAGTGGAGCCCGTTGCGTTGAGTTTGTTGCGTTTTTCATTTCCTCACGGAAATGGAGGAGAATGTAGTATGATGAAATACATATACACAAATACTTCTAAATAAACTACGATATGTGGACGAATTCTTTAATTAATCAGTGATTTTACAGTTTATAAGGTAACGAAGACGAATGTAAATACGTGAACAACTTACATTTTAAAACAAGCTCTGCTCCAACCGCTTTGTTTTCTGCCATTTTTGTGGTGCTGTTTTGTTTCTCCTTCGTGTCGCGCAGAGAACTGTGGGTAACCAAAGGCATCTGATGCATCCTTGAAATCACTTCGAACGTAGGCTGCATTTCTAGGCTGTACGTGAAGAATCCTTCACTTTGAAACGGCCTGCGATGACGTAGCAGCCGAGAAATGCAGCCTAGGCTTTGGAACGTAACTAATGTAATGGGAGCTTTTCGCTCATTCTCTCAGCTGGTCTGTGGATTGTTTTGGCTTTATCTTGTGCTTTTACATTGGCATTTTTTGGGAAAAACATGCCTTGCCTGAATTCTGTTCTGGTCTCTGCTTGGAGCGTTTATTCCTTTGTCAGTGTGCATGCCCTGGCTATAAACTCTGCCTTCATTTAGCTACCTAGGAGAGCACTAAGCTGATCTCCCACCACTGTAGCGCTGGACGACTCCCACATAGCTGCCGGTTTGCTCAGTCTTCCCTAAGGCTGCAAACCACACCTTCTTTTCATGCTGCAAACGTCAGGCTATCTTGCGAAGTCAGTTAGTTGGATAGGCCGCACTTTGTAATGATGTTTGGACTCTCCTCAGCCTTGATTCACAGCTGTTTGGCCTGCAGGTTTAGGTTTAGAAGTATTTTTTTCACTCCTCTAAATCAGTATCATAAACGTTATTTGCACTGTGTCCCTCCTGAATTGGCTCATAATTGTAATCGCTTCTTTTTGTAAAGTACTGTGCCAATTCTTAGGTGCTGTGTGGCTGAATACATTACTGCCTTTTATAATTCTGGTTATTAGAAAATCATTGCAATACCATTTTCACTGAACAAACAAACCCAGTGCCAAATGTATTGTGGCAGAATTGTCCATTGCCTTAATGTACAGGCTAGGCCTAAATTAAGATGATTTACTTTTTCTCTAATGGTGTCATTCCTTTGTCCTGTTTTATTTATATATATAAAAAAAAAACATTTTAAGTGCCACATCTTTGGGTGGCTCTTGCCTTTCCTCTGTAAGACTGGACGCTGTCATCTCTCCAGAACCATGTGCACATTACTAATAATGTATAGCCTATGTAGCAATGTACAGGTGGCAGGGATATGATTTTTCTGTATGTGTTCTGTACATGAAGAGGAACTTCCAGAAAAGGCTTATCTTTGAAGGGATGTTATTAAAATGTGTAAAATTCCTTCGGCTCTGCGAGTGCTGTCTTGTCGCTTCAACCAGTAGATCACAAGGCTCGACCCCAGAGATTTCGCAATGCTTATCATGCCAGGCGTCCACTTTTCCCATGGTCTGCTTACACTGACAGGTGGCTCAGGTGATTACTTACAGTCCCTCTTTAGTGAGTGTAGAGTAGACTAGTGCTTGGAAAGTTCTGGGAATTAAGTTCAGTTCAGGCTATTAAAAACTTCAGCCTTGCTGTGTTGCTGCTCCTAAAGAAACCTGTCTACACTAAGAGCAACTATGTTAAATGGAAAGTTGCTGTGTTGAATGACTTTCTAACAGACATAAGCACAAGAATTTGGTCTCTTCCCCTTAGCAGCAAGGATGGTTGCAGTCATTCTTTAATTTGGGATGCTCACATTTGAAGCTGTACTTAATTACCCTTGAAGCTGTTAATCATTATTAGAAAGCGTAAGTCGCTGTTCCCAAGACAAAAGTAAAAATATCAAAATTTTCACGGTTGCATATGTGGTTCAACTCTCCTATTGAAAGGGGGGGAGTCTCTCTATCTCTCTCTCTCTCTCTCTCTCGCTCCCTCTCTCACAGCACATCAGCACAGACGTCCAGAAATAGACGCTGGAACTTGAGAAGCCAACTGTCCTCTGTTTGGAAAAACACCTCCGAATCTCTGTCATCTGGGATTGCAACACCACTCTCTCTGGTGCTGTACCTCGACAGTTCACTCTGAGCCTCCGACTCTCGTCATCTGGACGTGGATCTCTAGGGGAAAAAACGTGTGAGGAGAAAACTTCTTGCCACTGTTATACTCCCCAGCGCTGACCTCCGTCTGCGATACGTCATCACGGTGAGGTGAATAGTAGGTAGGTTTCTCTTTTTCCTCTCTTTATTGGACGTGCTGGAGTGTGACCTTTACCCAAGATTAGTGCTGCAGGGCTTGTTTTGAACTGATTTTATATGTATAGTCTGCTGGCTCATCGGCAGTGAACATGACAAAAGAAGAGATTTTAATTACTTAAGACTGATAAAGTGGCAGAAGAGATGTTCCTTGGGCCTCTGCTTTGTGTTCACTTTGATGAGAAAACTATTTATCCCCATTACAGTTAACGTTCACAGAAGTAGTGTTATTAGATATGAGAATCCACATTTTCAAGCTTGGTTTGTAAGTGTGGCTCTTTTACCAAAGTTAGCTTGAAACACTTCGGCCCGATCCCATTTCTTATTTTTACCCCTACCTCTTGTTTTCGAGTGTCACTTTGTTCCTTGGAACTGAGTTACAAGGGGTAGTGGTTGAAATCTTCCTCTATGAAATGGGACCCTCAAACAAAGAAGACCGTTACTTCATTAACAGCTACTAGCTACTGCCAGTCGGCAGTGATGGCAGAGGAGGATGAAGTTCAGCAACCTCGCCACTGGGCTTTAGTTACGTTTAGGGCATCATATGCCTTCAAAGTTAGAGGGAATATTTATTATTATTTATCACCCACCTCTATTTCTTTGGTGATATGAAGCTGAAGTCAGCTATTCACCCGATTCTTGTTCGAATTTTCCCGTTCCACTTTAAACAGTACAGCAGTTCTGATGCCTGAGGTGCCAGAATGTAATTGCTGCACCATTTAAGGTGGAACGGGAAAGTTAGCTAGCTAGCTACCTAGACGCCAGCATAGTACTAGCAATTTTTATGCTTGTTATGAAGAAAAGGACCATAATACATTGAGACAATGTTAAACTAAGGTAATATAATGGTTATCGTAATTTTTAAATGGAGAAAATACTCACATTTGTGGGTTTCTTTGGCCGTGTAGCCCTAACATTTTGCCCTACCCCTCTATCTCAACAACAATTGTGACACCCTACCCCTAGACGTGAACACGCAAAATGAAGGGGTAAGGGCGAGGGGTGAAATGGGATTGGGCCCGAGGGGCATGCTTGTGAAAAACAAGACAGCATGGGATCATGCCTAAAGAACTGGCCTGTGACATTGCCCTCTTGGCTTGTTACATTACCCAGGCTTGTTATTCAGTAAATAATCTTAATTTAAGATTTATTATTCAGTAGCTACTATAAATCTAAAATGTAAGTGGTGTAATTATGCGAGTGAGGAACTCAAGTGTGGATAATAATTTCTGCAACGCAGGATCCTCCAGTATTTGACTATATAATTAGTCAGTGTTACCTTTACTGTTGTCACATCCTGTTATTCTATGTCTGTTTTTTTTTTGTCGATTAGTATGAAGCAGAAGCTGCTAGCCATGGGGCGAACGCTTTGCCCCTCGTCCCGTGCAGAATCCGACCTGGATCTGAAGGCTCCAGCGGGTGCCGCTTCAGGTCCACAGGGCCAGGAAGAAAAGATGGTCATGAGGAGGGAAATCTCTCTGGCCAACGGCATCTGCCTCATCGTGGGTAACATGATCGGCTCGGGCATCTTTGTGTCCCCCAAGGGCGTGTTGCTCTACAGCACCTCCTACGGGCTGTCCTTGGTCATCTGGGCTCTCGGGGGCATGTTCTCCGTTTTCGGTGCTCTGTGCTACGCCGAGTTGGGGACCACCATCACCAAGTCTGGTGCCAGCTACGCCTACATCCTGGAGGCGTTCGGCGGGTTCCTGGCCTTCATCCGGCTGTGGACCTCCATCCTGCTGGTTGAGCCTGCCAGCCAGGCTGTCATCTCCTTGACTTTCGCCAACTACCTGGTAGAAGCTCTGTACCCAACCTGTCAGCCGCCGTATGACGCCGTCAGACTCATCGCTGCAGCTTGTCTCTGTGAGTCGCAGTGTGAGAAGAAAATATGGCTTAAAAGTTTTGTTTTTTGGTAACACTTTACTGAAGGGTTCTTGCGTAAGCTTTTCATGATAAACTTGTATGTAAAATGTATATGTTTATAAAGCTTTGTTCCAACGAACATTGGGTGTCATAACACTTGCTAAGGTGAAGTAACATCAAAATTGACAACTGACGCTTGTTGGAATAAGCCTTTATAAATGTTTATATAGGTTTAAGTCAGTCATTGTGAAAGGTTTATCACAGCCTTTCGAAATCTCTAAGGTGTTACTGCTTTTTCGTATTATTTCGTGTCTGTTGTAAGAAAAATTTGTATCTTCAGTGCTATAATTTCTAAAGAATAAGAAAAATATGTTTATGGTAACTTGTTACAGAAGCGTTTCAACAAAAAAGTGTAATAACTGAAAACAGCAGCCATTTGCACGCCTTACTATTGATAGATATTTATCCATATTTATAGATAAACAATGTTTTACAGTGTCAGAAACCACATAAGCAAGTCTATTTGAAATCACTTAACAACTCAACATGGATTGATGCAACTGTGTGACGATTAAGGCATGCAGTTTGCACAATGCAAATTGGTGGGGGTATAACTTGTTAGCTACATTAATCTCAGCGAAAGAAAGACGACAACATCAGACACTAAACATGTCTTGGCTGATCGTCTGTCTTTGGGCTAAAGGGAAAACTGTAAGCTTCTATAGGCTGATTAGTCATGAATGTTCAAAGTAAGTTGACGTAAAAGGTTCAAAGGAAGTTGACGCCATCAAAAGGTATGTAAATGAAGGTATAACCTCAATAATTTGTTTATACTTCTGCAGAACGTATTCAACCATTGTTTATTTTTGTTGGGCAAGATTTTATTAGCATGTCATCTCAGGAAGTCAAAACATTCCACAGAAAGGCAGCTGGCTGTTTGAGGGACGTGGAATTTTACTGAATGAAAACTGAGCAGGGTGGCAGACGTTCGGTGGTTTCCTGCAAAGGCCTAGCTAATCGCTACGTGCTGTTAGTCACTGTGGTTAACTTTTACAAGAGAACTGGGCTGTAGTTTCCTGCTTTACTGTCCCCCCCAGTGCTGTTAGATACTCTTTATTCATTATCTTGGGTCTCTCACAAAGTAGGTTTATTAGTAAGCTGGATGATTTGAGTCTAAAGTGAGGATTTTCCATTAGGAATGTCCCTGCTTTTGGACAGGCCTGACTTTTGACTTGTGTTATCTGGCTAAGTGAGACGTCCTGCTTTGTGAAACACCCCCTGGACGTCTCCCAGCTTTGACAGGTGTTGTGTACGTCCTAAGAAAACATTGCCCCTTCAGAAACGGTAGAAATTAGGTACAGGTTGGTCAAATTCTGTATGTGAGAACTCAAATATAGTTAGGAGGTCTTACCAGGAGTTGTCAGTTGGCACTGACTGTTATATTGTGCCAACCAGAAACGAGGCCAGACTATTTCAGTAGTCTGAAGGGGCCTCATCTTGTCTGAGTGTACCTGATACTCTACGATGGGAATTTAGGTGAAAGATCACCAGGCATTGACGTATTCGATTAGTTCAGGATTGAACGATTTTCTCAAGCAAGCGTCATGCAGTCACGGATGTTCCCGACTGTGGCGTCTGTGTTGCTTCACTACGTTTTCCGTTACAATGCCCTTGGTGGTTGTGGCGGAGTTTCCCTGAGTCATTTAATTGCCCCTCTCGCATGTAAACAAAGGTGAAGGCCCATGCAAGTCAAAACACAGCACGTGTTTCACTGCTGTGTCTGGAGCGAGGCAGATCTTTTTCTTTCTCTTTCTTTTTTAGAATCTGTTGCTGAGCCATTGACCCACCCTCCCCCCCCCAGCAAATCCGTAAGCTCGCTCTGCTGACAGAATAGAGGATAGACTGTTCTGCCAGTAGGGCTGTATTCCGGCCAAGCCCCTCCGGGCAAGAACAGACCACAGCATTACGCACTCAGTGCTCACTACTGAGTGGGCCTTGCACTAGCATAATTTCAGTTACTAGCAAAAGCATTAGCATTAGGGGGTGCTGTTTAGACCAGGCCACACAGATTATGTTGAAAGCCATGGTTTGTGAGACTTTATGTTCTTGATGAAGGTTTTCTATTATCCTCTTTCCAGTTGGTAGATTGGATCACATCCAACAAGGTTGAGGTTTAATCCACATTCTTTGCCAAGTAGGGGAAGTGATCTGTTTGTGGGTGTCTCCGTATCGAGTTTTATTTTTTCCAGCTTGTTGTTGTTGTTGTTATAATAATAATAATAATAATAATAATAATAATAATAATTATTATTATTATTATTATTATTATTATTAGTAGTAGTAGTAGTAGTAGTAGTAGTATTACTGTTAGTTGTTATTATTATTATTATTAATATTATTATTATTATTATTATTATTATATCATTACAAAACGTTATGAAATGGTAAGTTTACAGGATGACAAAACATGCTTAACCTTAATACGTACCGTTGTATGGAAACCTTTTAGGCACCCCTGGTCAAACGTTTGGTTGATTTTCCTCTACACGAATTTCAAAGTCTTTACAGATTATAAAAGACTGGGCTTCTCACACTGTCCGACTGGTTTTTGCAGATTTTTGGGCGACTAAAATATCAGGGATCACACACTAAACAATTAAGGATCACATACTACTCATCTTTTAAGCTGCTGCTGAACCGAACTGAACTCATGGGAACTTGTGTTCTCCTGTTACTAGGAGACCCAAATAAACAAAAGCCGAGCTGCTTCTGCTGTTTTCTCTGCCGTTTGCACTGAGACAGGAAAGAAGCAGCAGGTAAACATGTTTAAGTGAGGCTCATGGGTTTAAAAATGTGATCAGTTTGGTATTGTTTAGAGTCTTAAACCTACATAAACTCGATTGTTCTCGTGTCTTGAACTCGGCTCATTAAACAGCTTGATATTTCGCCATTTTTCTTTGTTTACTTGCTGTATTTTCTTCTTTTGCGCTCCCAGTTCTCATTGGCTGTTGCAGGAGTCGGTTCAGATTGAGTCAGTTTACAGTAGATTTCGGTCAGAGTTGGGCTGAAAAAATCAAACGTTTGATAAACTGACGGGTCTGAAATGTGATTGGGAGGCCGAAAAATCGGACTCTGCCCCCGTCACACATGACTCAATTCTCTCTCCAACTGTCCCAAAAATCTGCAGACTAGAGCCACATAACACAGACTCGGCCAGACTGAGAATCGGGGCTAAAATCGAGGTAAAAGTAGTGTAGTGTAACCCCGGCTTAAATGAACATAAGTGAACACATCCTCTACAGAGAACACACTTCTGCACATTTTAATGCACAGGTGATGTTTAATCTTACTGTTTATTTTCTGAATTTAACATATTGGGGAAAAATAAAACAAATGGCCTTTGCAAAGTTACAGCACATTTTATTTTCTATTTTTTCCAATATGTTGAACTACATAAATAAAATAAATTGTGCACCACATTTTACACACACAAAAAAAATTTAAGCTCCCTGTAGATGATTTGTTAATTTATTTTCAACAAAGCGTGTCACTTTTCTGGGTATATTTAAAACATACGACTGTACAGTAATAAAAGGAGTAATTTTGTTTAGTTTCTGTTGGTGCCTATTGAAATGTCCATGCAATCTAAAGGGCAGGAGGTGTTTCAAATGTTGGAGAAAATAAAAAAAAATCACAAGGTTTTGATATGAAAGCGATATGTTTGCATGAGCATTACTGTTCAAATGTCAGAGGCCACCCTTCATTTATTTAATATCCAGTCAAAACAGACATTAAGTGCAATTTATTTTTCGGAAGATTGTTTCTGAGGAGAATAGATATAAGATGATCAGCTTACATAAAGAAGAAGAGAGTCCGAATAAAATAAGTGGGAAAAAATGACTAAAATATGCAGAGAAAATGGAACTTCTAACAACCATGCAAGACCTGCTAGACCAACAAACTGCCCCCATCAGATAAACAGCACTTACAGCTTTCATCTTTGAGAGAGAGGAGAAAATCAAGCTGCTCCAGATCTGAAAACATCCACAGGTGTTTCTGTCCATCCTTCCACTGTGAGGAGATGACTCAGCGCTGTGGGTCTGAAAGGATGTGTAGCTGTCAAGAAGTCCTTACTGAGAAAAGGAGACAGAGAAAAAAGATCATTTGCAAATCAAACAAAGTCCAGACCTCAGCATCACTGAATGTGTTTGAGATGACTTCGGTTGTGAGAAGCAGAAAATGCAACCAACTTCTAAGACTGAACTTTGGTGTGTCTGCAAGTTTCTTTAAAAAACTGAAAGTGAGTCTCCTGGAAACAATGGAAGCTGTAATAAAGGTGAAGAGTGGAGAAAAATTGATATTATCCAACCATCCATCCATCTTCTAAGCTGCTTATCCTCCTGGGATATATACTCATATTTAGAAGGAGACACCTGTGTAATTTTCTGTTAAATACATCTACTTTTTCTTAAAGCTGAAAAATGAATAACTGAATTTACTTTTAATGGCCTTTTTGACTGGAAGTTAAATGAATGAATTTAAATGACTTTTGCACAGCACTGTGGTTTGATTAGTAGCTTTTCCATAAAGTGTTCTATTAGCAGAGTCCCAAAATAAACCGAGATTAGCTCCCAGGTCGTGTGGCTCCCAAAGGTGCGTTAGTCCATCACAGCATGGCGCTTGAACTGTGAACACGCATCTTTCTAAAAAGAGGAATGCAGTATAAGCAGACCAGGTTTTTAAAAGCTGCTGTCTTTGACATGCAGATCTTTTTTCCTCACTCCAAAAAGCTAAAATGCTCCATTTAAATGGCTGACTGCACATGTACGACCTAGAACTTTCCCTTGTGTCACAAACAGTCCTCTGATTGACTCAGACTCTACGTTTAGTGCTGATAATCAGAAAAATACAGCTAAATACACTTAAAAAACGACTCAAAATGCAGTCACACTTATACAAATGAGGCTAAATGCTAGCCATGTGGTGTGTGCATGCTTCTGAGCTGAGAGAGCTGGGGAAGGAGCGGAAAAGACGCCAAAAAGGTGACAAATAACAACAGAGTGCACTTTCAAAATCACACAAACAGGCACTAAAACACATTTTAACAGATAAATAACAATAAATATGACAGATTATTGTAAAATTAACAATGTTTATCTCTGTCTTTCAGTTTACATTGATTTTAAGTATTAAAAATATCTGATATTAAATATGCAACTCAATTTGTAATTAAAAATAAAGCCTGTCTTGCGGTGTATCAGAGTTTCAGCACTCGGCATGAATCCAAAAGGACAGAAAATCAATTCAAAAACATGTCCGCCTTATGCTAATTGTTTATTTTTACTCATAATGACTAATAGAATGAATCACCATCGAAATTATTGCACTTTCAGCTCACAGACACTCCAGACTCACAACTTCTGAAAATGTGTCTGAGGTGCCACTTGTTCTCAGGATCTCTATAAGCAAAAAATGACCGAATTTAGCAGGCGCTAAGTCAATTTTTTTGATCAGAAATGACCAAAATTCATTAAGATTTCATATTTCTGTTAGCATTTACATATCAAACAATGGCATGTCTGAGAAGCCCAGGGTCTCCTGAAAATAACAACATATGGAATGTGTGAGTGTCTGATGTAAATACTTGTAATTGTAATTGATCAAAAAAAAATATTTTAGGGTTTCTAAGGGTTAACCTAATTATTGTTGTTCGCTGCTCCTCCTGCTTTTTGTTTTGCCTGTCCTCTTCGGTTAACTCTTCCTTTCTTTCTCAGGTATGTTGATCTTTATAAACTGCGCCTATGTGAAGTGGGGCACTCTGGTTCAGGATATCTTCACGTACACCAAGATCATGTCCCTCATCCTCATCATTACAATCGGCGTCATAAAGATAGTTACAGGTACAGAAAAAATCATGCAGACGCGAAGTCTAGATCCACTCTAAGAAATGTTTTGATTCCCCTCCTATATTTAAACCTAACCTCAACCAGTCTAGACACTTGAGTGACATACGATACATCACCGTCTGTCGCTCGTACTATTCTTCACAGTTGTGTCTAGAGCAGGGCTGCCCAGAGTCGGCCTGGGAGCATGTTTGATTTGGCACCACGAGAAAAAGTCTTAAACATCTCAATCAGAGAACAAACATTTTTATACTATGTATAACTGACATTTTGCATTTTTCAGATATTTTAGTGACAAATTGCAGCATAATGTTCTAAAAATGCATTTTATAAGCTCAGTTTGAAGCATATCTTCCTTCTTTATTTATATGCTTTTGCTTTTGGCCCTCAGTCCAACATAAACAGCTCTTTGACACCTCCAGGACAAAAGCTTTGGCACCCCAGATCGATAGTTTACTAAAAAGATGGTACCTACATTCCTATCAGGAAGGGCATGAATGGTCATGTATCATGTATATGTTGGTTCATGTATTGATCTGCGTACTCTGATTGGAATTCTGCTCTGAGTGTGCTGAGGTTCTTTGTAACATTTGCTAAGATATTGGTCTCATTTTCTTCTCACGTACCGCAGGAGAAACTAAAAACTTCGATAGTCCGTTTGAAGGTTCCTCCATGGAAGCTGGCAGCATTGCACTGGCTCTCTACTCAGCCTTGTTCTCCTACTCCGGCTGGGACACACTCAACTTCGTCACTGAGGAGATTGTGAACCCAGAAAGGTCTCACAGTCATTCATTTTATGTTCTAGGTAGAATTCAAATGGAGTGCTGTCGAAGGCCTGCTCCAACTACTTTAGCTTCCAGTTCACTCTCAGAAACAATTCCACAAGAAAGAGTTTTTTCAGCTAAAATCGCTGTTGCACATCATATCGTCAGCATGCAGTGTATTCTGAATGATTCTCTTTTTGAATTTTGGATGAATAATTCGAAAATATGTATTTATTACTTTGTTAGGAAAGCTGGAAGACGCTTTTTTTCCTTTTGGGTACACAACATACTTTGTAACTAAATTGTTATTTTTACATCTGGGAGTGTTCGTGCAGTACAGTTGTGTGCAAAACTTTAAACACCCCTGTTCAAAATACTGTTTTGTTGATATTCCAAGTGAAAATTTTCTATGGAGAACACAAAGATGCAAGATTTTTTGTTTAAAAACATTCCAAAACTAACTAAAATTATCAACAGAATGTGAAGAAATAATAGTTGATGTTATGCCAAAGTTGCCTATATATATCATGTTGCAGAGATACCTACCGAAGTTAGCATGCCAACCAGCTAGCCCAGCCCCTCCGGTCTCATAATTCCACTTTGTACCTGAAGAGGTGATGGTGAGTCACTGAAGCGTCACGTCTGTCATCGGTCCAATATCAGAGGATGAGGAAGTAGCACCAACCCAAGGGCGTATCCTAATCCCTTGTCAATCAAGTCAAAGGTACCGCCCCTGGTTAAACCGGGAAAGGTAGCCAATGAAAGGAACAGTAAATGCAATGATGGCTGAAACTCTTGAGTGACCCTTATCACCCCCACCACCCGTCCCCACCAAGAAACCATGTTCAGCAGCAAAGAAAAAAAGTGAAATAACTCTTGTTTTGCTTCTGTTTAACATTGGTGTTGCTTTCCACCATTTAATGAGCAAAGAAATGAAGTTTGGTGCTTAACTCGCAGCATTTCTTCTAGACTGGTAAAGAGAGGGAGGAGGAGAGACTGTGTCTTTGCTTGCCAGTTTCTTTCTGTTATGTTGCCCCCTGTTTGTTTGGAGTGTGGAGTATGAATTTGACAGATTGTCATCTATTAGATTGCTCCTTTAAATACGTCATTTTCTGCGAATTTTAGTACGTGGTTTGTGTTTATTTGCTGAGGTTAGCATATTAGAAGTTGTGCATTAAAATGTGCAGAAGTGTGTTCTCTGTAGAGGCTGCGTTCACTTATTTTCTCTTTCAAAATCAACAAAACATGTCATTTACCAGGGTGCCAGAACTTTTATACATCAAACCATACACATCAAACAGCACAGAATGTCCCAAATAAATGGAGTAGACCTTTATAAAGTTATCTTACATGATGAAAAAGCTACTACGCATCACTGAATTTAAATCTTACTTAACATAAACTTTGCATTGTGGTTTGAAGTTCCATTACAGTTGTCAGTTGTATTCATTCATTGATATTTGCGTTCAAAATTGACTTGGGGTTTTTGTTTTTGCATACAGGAATCTGCCTCTAGCCATTGCCATCTCTATGCCAATAGTAACCATCATCTACCTGCTGACAAATGTGGCGTACTATGTAGTGCTGGACATACCTTCATTTATGGCTAGTGATGCGGTTGCAGTGGTACGTGCCAGTCCATCAGCTGACCACCTGCTTTGATTACTGATACACTGTTTAACCCTCTAAACACCCAGAACCAACCTGTGGGCCCAAAGTGTTATTACACACTTCTATAACCTAAGAATAGCTCAGCTAGTTTGCATTGAAGTCCCTGTAGTTACTGAACAATAAGCCTTAGTATGTAATAAGCTTAGGATTTTATTAACCTAAACTTTTTTTTTTTCCCATCTGCAGACATTTGGGAATCAGGTGCTGGGGCCCATGAGCTGGATCGTTCCCATAGCTGTGGCTATGTCCTGTTATGGAGGACTGAATGCCTCCATCATCGCTGCCTCAAGGTGACTTACCTCTGTTAATAAACAGAGGCAGTGCTCTCTGTAGTAAGACTTGGTCTGTAAGTGTTGTTAGTGTGTGTTGGGAAAATGAAGGCAAAACAGTATTGTTGGAACAATAGTTAGTAAGGGTTATTGATCCCTTGCATACAATAATTTGAGTCAAACCTATGACGTGGAGTTTACCACTGAAGTCTTTAGCCGATTGGTGACAAACTATTTTGATGCTGAAAAAAAAAGAATGGAGGTTGGCTGAGGTAAAGGGAAGAGCGGGGAGAAGTTATGAATAAGTCATGAAGAAAAGCCAAAAAAACGAATGTGCAGATTGAACAAGCCTGTCTCCCAGTGCATAATAAATCAAGCGTCTGTTACTTGCAGGCAGAAATCGTCAACCAGCAATGACTGAAAATAGCTAACGGAAAGGACTGGCAAAGATCTTAAGGAAGATGTCTGATATTTGCAGGTTCAGCAGGCTAACTGTGCGCTATATGCCAAATTTTATGCTTTATTCATTTATTCCAACCCCTTAAATGGCCACTGGTGGGTCCAAACTTCTTTTCCACACTTTTCCACGCTACTGAATAATATGTCTTAGGTTAAGGGGTGCCTAGTCCTTTTCCTGGAGATCTACCTCTCAGATCCAACTCACTTGGCTCTAATATTCAGACACCCCTGAAGGTCTTCAATGTCTGGATCAGGTGTGTTAGATTAGGATTGGAGCTAAACTCTAGGACCAGAATGGGGCACCCCTGCCTTAGTATGTAAAGAGTGGAATTTTAAGAGGTTTAAAAAGTGCCCTATTAATCTGACTGGTGTATTTTTACCTCAGGGCCTACATTCAAAAATACAATTTATTTTTTCCCTGAAGTCTGATGAGGTTTCAGTTTTCATCCAAAAAGCCATCTGGGTTGAAACACTCCTTATAATGTCAATTTGAAGGGGCGGGGCTAAACTATAGCTATAGACAGATAAATGCAAATGTGTTTGTTTCTGTGATATCGACTTTAAATTAAAATGGGTTGTTTTGCTGCCTATTTCCATGGATTGTATGAACAGGATAGTGAGTGATGCATTTGACAACATTAAGTGTTGAATGGTCTGGGCTCTTGCTGCTGTACATGGCATAAAGATTTTTGATTTCGCTACATTTCTGTATGATTATCTTCTACCTTTTTTATTGTGGCAGGTTGTTCTTTGTGGGGGCGAGAGAGGGTCACCTACCAGACAGTCTAAGTCTGATCCATGCTACCCGCTACACACCTGTTCCTGCACTTCTCTTTAATGTAAGTCTAATTCTGGTGGTGTTTCTACCCTTGGGGTGCATACTTTTCACTGATTTGACAGTTTATTAGGTACACCTACATTGTTGCTACCCTTATTGGCCATTATATAAGGTGTACCTACCATATAGATATACTTGTAGTTACAGAATGTAGTCTGTCTGTCTGCTGCAATTCATCAACTCCCTTCTGCCTATCCATCAGGAGAAAGAGACCACCATAAGACCACTGTTGGCCGGATATTATTTGGGTGGTGGATCATCCTCAGCACAGCAGTGATACCTACATCACACTGGGTTTGGCACTGGTACAAGTTTAACAGTTCATAATATCTGGTCAGCAGTGGTTCTTTGGGAGTCTCTTTCCATTGAGGCACAGGGTAGAGTAAGTTCATCAAACAGATTTGATTGGAGGCCAGATTCTTGCAGATCGGATTCTCTTTGAGTCAGATTCCCACCGTATCCCCCCTACCCATATCACTCACACGCTTTCAGACACACTCACATCCAAGTCATGCTCATTCACATCATATGCATGTCAACAGTGAGTCTTTTCCAAGTCAAATTATATTTCTGCAAGACACAAATATGTATGACACTGAACTAATTCTGGTTTTATAACAAATCATTCCAGACAAGCAAGTTCAGTAGTTTAAATTTATATTATTAACATTTGAAGCATCTCACAGACCTGGCTTACAACTCACCAGCTCACTCCTACACATTTACCAGACTGAGGATTCTCCACAAGGAGGTGTTTTTGGCACTGAAGTATTTTTTCTTTGCATTATTGAAAGAAAAGGAACTGTCATGAACCTACAACAGGCTAGATGAAAGCATTTATTGAATATATTTATATATATTTATTGATTTGCAGCAAAACTGCATCATAATCAGTGAAAAATGTATTACTCAAAGGCCTCTTACAAGCTTCAGATGTCCATAGCTGACATAGAGTTGCCATCAATAGTGTTAAGCCCAGTAGAACTGTGAATATACACAGTCTGCTAACATAACATTGCAGTTCCTATAGGAAAAAAGTCTATTCTGTTAAATAGTGGTAGAATATCCCCTATAAATGTCAACACATGGTCAAAAAACAAGGAAAATGACCTCTGTGATGATGTAAATATCTGCTAACACAGATATTATTGCCCGTTGTAGATTAAAAGACATTGTAACTATGCCTAACTAATGCCTATATGGTGATACACCTGATGAAATGGCTCATAAGTGAAGATACACGGTTGGTGTGCCTAATAAACAGGCAGCTTGGCGTATGTAAAAGGACTCGAAGGGGAGGTGACCAAGGGTGAGGTTCAGGCTGGTTATCCAGTGTTTGCAAATTTAGCAGTCAGTGCTCCACGTGTGCTCGTCATGATGCTTTAGGTGTTAAAGCCAGGAACGTTGTTGGCGGACAGTGAGAGAGATGGTCAGGCTGACACTTCTCAGCAGGAAGCGGTTACAACACTTCCCTGCCTCAAAGAGATCAGCACTGGAGTCTCTCTCCCCCTCCCCGTCCTGTTGATCTCCTAGAGGACATCTTCTATTCTTGGTGCTGTGGTTTGAGGCCAGAACGCACTACACTAATTGATTCTCCCTCCTTCCAAGTTTTGGGGTGCGTGTTGATTCAGCTGGCCTACAACTTCCCTCACCATGCAGAGGTGATAGTGTCCCACAGAGTGACAATATATTTGGGCCTAATTCAGCGAGGAAGTGGAGCAGCTTGTTTTGGATAAGTTTAAAGCTCTGAATGTCCCTCCATTAAGAGTGGATGCAACTGTGTTTTTGGCTGCAGGATCTCCTTCCCTCCAGAGAAAACTTCACAGATTCTGATAGTAACTTACTGGTCAATCTGGAATGCTTGGGACCTTCTAATAGTGCTTAAACGTCACCTTCACCAATTTATGATTCCATAGAAGTGGTTCTGCATGTCCAGGCAATATTGCCACCTAAAAATTGACCCCGGAGAAAGGTTAATATCGTCACTGTCCACAGAAAAACATGTATCTCCAAAATGGTAAGTTTACAGGAGAAGGCAAAAACTGTCTTAACTTTCGATGTAAGTTAATTTAAAGAAAAAATGTAAATTTTATTCCAAGTGAATTTGGAGCATTTCTATTGCCCCACTCATCATGACATTTTCACACAATGTAGGACAGGGACAGCTGCCGTGTTCAAATGATGTAGGAAAATAAAAATCGACAAAAATGGAGATGTTTCTCATGTTTTTCTTTGGACAGAGATGATGCAAGGGTTATGTTTAGAGTTCTCTGGTTGATTCAAAGCAGTCTTCATGTGGGTTGGGCCAGCTTAAAATATGTGATTTAGGAGGCAGTTAAAAGTTAATTGAGCTGCTTCCCACCTCTTTGCTTCTACAAAAACGTCTTTTCAGAAAATAAAGTTTTCAGTCCCTGAAAGTCACCAAAAATGATGTTTGAGGTTTCTGGCCAAAAGAGAACAAGTTATATTGCTTCCAATTTTTATGGTTAAATAGGCCTGCAGCAAAGTATAAATTGCTTTACAAATCATTTTAATCACATTAATAATTAGAAAAAGTGGTTAATTCTGTTTTCTCCCAGTCATCACGAATACATTGGTCCTGTTGACCAAGCTTACTTTTCAGTAATTATAAGCTACTTTTCAGTTTTCCTATCACTTTATATTTTTAAATTATATTGCATCCAAAAGCGTAAATAAAAAACTTTCTTTTCAGTCTCTACTAACTTTTCGACTCGGCGTGTCTTCAGTTTCGACCAGATTTTCATCTCTCTGCGCTCTTGTTTCTCAAAAGACCTGTCAACAAAGGCCCACTGGAAAGGTCTTCTCTCCTACCAGCTAAAAGGTTTTCACCTCCTGTTAATTGTAGGAGTGCTGTGTTCCCACTCAGTACAGTTTAAACCTCTTGGACTTAGTCCAAGTGTGTGTGTGTGTGTGTGTGTGTGTGTGTGTGTGTGTGTGTGTGTGTGTGTGTGTTTATTTTCAGGTTGTTGACGCTTCAGTGAGCTGTGGTTCACCAAAACTCACGTTTATTTTTTGTCTAGCAGTCGCCATGGCAACTTTCTCCTAGCTGCTAATAAGGCCTGCCAGGTTCTTGTCAAAGTCTGTTATGGACCACCATACCTGGAAAACACACAAGGCACCTCAGTATAGCTCTGTTGTTGATCTACAGTGTGCATCTGGGTGGATTCCTTGGTCTTCACCTGAAGTGCCAGCAACGTTAGGCTATATTACTCAAGTGTATCTCGCCAGCAAGTACTAATGAGACACTGGTATCGTTGGATCATTTAATAGACCTGGTTATTCATCCAGGGAAAAAAAAGCATAAAAGCAGATGTATATGTAAAGTGTTTAGTGTGTCCACTCTTTACCTTTATTTCAGCTTCATTTCTTTTCAGGAGACTTGCATCTAGTATTTTTTTATTTTTTGAAGAAATCTGCAGGGATATTTTTTCGCACTTTCGAAGTTCCGTCTTAGTAATTAATGGCTTTTTCTGTTTATCACAGTCCAAGTAATCAACACATTCTGTGATCTTGAGGTCTGGACTGTGGTGGGGTGGTCAGTCGAAATCTTCTTTTTTCTCTATTTCCTTTTCTCAGTAAGGGCTTCTTGACAGCTACACATCCTTTCAGGCCCACAGCGCTGAGTCGTCTTCTCACAGTGGAAGGATGGACAGAAACACCTGTGGATGTTTTCAGATCTGAAGCAGCTTGATTTTCTCCTCTCTCTCAAAGATGAAAGCTTTAAGTGCTGTTTATCTGATGGGGGCAGTTTTGGGGTCTACCAGGTCTTGTGCTATTTTTAGGGGTCCCATTTGCTCTATAATTTTAAAATATTTTTTTGAACTGCAGTTTTAGAAACTCCTGTTTTTTTCACTTATTTTCCTTTTGTATGCAAGTCAATTATCTTATATCTAATCTCCTGAGAAATATCACCTGACAAAGAGTAACTTGTACTTGATGACTGACTGGAAATTAAATAAATGAAGGGTGGTCTCTGACTTCTGCCCAGTACTGTATGTTGTTTTGTGTTTCATAGGGCATGATGGGGCTGATCTTCTTGTGTGTGGAGGACGTGTTCCAACTCATCAACTACTTCAGCTTCAGCTACTGGCTGTACGTGGGCCTGTCTGTGGCCGGTCTCATCTACCTTCGCTACACACAGCCAGACAGACACAGGCCTGTGAAGGTACTGAATTAGTTTTTACAGTCACCTGGCTTTGTCTCTAACTAAATGTGAGGGGATTTGATTAAATGTCTTGCACATTTTGCTTTGCCCTCTAGACTTAATATCTCTCTGTCTTCTCTCCTCCAGCTTACTCTGCTCTTTCCGTTCATCTATTGCGTGTGCAGCCTGTTCTTAATCATCGTGCCCCTCTACAGTGACACAGTCAATTCCCTCATAGGGATAGCTATCGCACTGTCTGGTGTGCCAGTGTACTACTTGTGTATTTACCTACCAGACGAAAAGAGGCCAAGATGGGTCAGTCGACTAAATGGTAAGAATTTTGTTTTGTTGGAGAGTATATTCTGATTTGTTTAGTATTCGAGAGCAGGGGTAGACTGATATAAACAATGGCACTGGCAACTCAGGCTCTACGCCAATGAATGTTGTGGCCACAGCAACAGAAACATGTTTATCATAAATAGATAGTATTTATTGAAGGGGAACTCCACCGATTTAGCAAAATTACTTTATCATTCAATAGTTTAGATGAAAACAACACCATTTCAGAGTGGTTTGGTATGAAATACACCTTTCTAGAGAAAATCACCATTGTAGTAATGGGAACCAGACATCGTTCTGTCTACACTACAAATATTACCATTTTACCTGCTGTCTAAAATGACCAGTGAACTGACATGTTTCTTATAAAGTTCTATATGTCACGGTGAGAATGGTAAAATAGTGCTAAATTCGAGAAAAATACGTTTTTTGGGTGCTGTTTCTTCCTTTCAGTGCCCTGTATGATGTGCCCCTCCACCCTGCCCGCCTTTAGTATTGTTTTGGTAGGTGGTGTTGCGTTGAATGGTCAGCAAAACCCAGAGCTTATGTGAGTAACGTTATTCATCAGAAGAGCTGCGACAGATCGCAGTTACACCTTTCTGAATACTTGTTCAGGATGGCGGTGAACTGCGCTGTACCAGGATGCAAAAATAAATGGAGAAAATACAGTATGGTGCCTTTCTTTGGTTGCCATAACAAATACCAGAAATCCTGAAGTTGTGGCTGATTGTTTTGAAGCTATTTTCCACCACAGAAACTGGAATCAAGGTGAGAAATGTTCATGAGTGAAATAAATTGGTTGTCGTTCGCCACAGTGCATATAACAGACTGTCCAAGGGCCACGCAATAAAATACCCATCGCATTGAACAGGCTAGTGACAACAAAAGCATGATGGCTTGCGCGCATCGATCCTGAAAGCAAAATTTTATATTAAAAATACGTTTTAGGCCAAAACTTTTTACCAGAACTGTCATTAAACAATTCAGGTATCAAGCAACACCTTCATAACCATTTTGTGTAATAACATAATGGGATGTACCTTTTTAGAGCCATTAAATGCTTCAGACGTCTGGTTCCTAGTACTATAATGGTGAACAATTCTGACTCATTTCACACCAAACCACTCTGAATGATTTTGTTTACATCTAAACCATGGAATGATTAAGTAATTTTGTAAAATCAGTGGAGTTCCTCTTCAACAAGCATTCTTCAGTAGCAACAGTCAGGTGTTGCTCTGACAGAGGAAACATTTATTATAATCTTTATATTATTAAGAACATTGCTGTTGTAGTGATCTGGTGGTAGCCTCTCAGTGTAACGGCAGCTTATTAACACCTTATTTTATTTAAGATCATAATTCATAGAGCGATATATAGCAAACTTCAGCCAATAGATGAGCACCTATGACACCAGTCAGACCAGCACAACAGGGGGACTACTAGTCACTACACGGCTACATTAGCTACTGCAGTGGGTACGGTTAGCGAAGTCCAAGCCACTCGTTTCCAGAAGTATATTTGACTGGATAGAAATTGTCTGGATAAGGCTCTGCAATTTTTGTCACCTAAATACAAAAAAGTTGTGGCCAGAGGCGTCAGGCAATACACCCTGTTTTCCCTCAATGATGTTTATTTGGATTTAGATTAAATGCTTTGAATTAGACTTCTAATTGACATCTGTAGTGGTTAGGCAAATTTGAAAGGGTGTTTCTGCCCCATTGCTCTTTTAGTCAGGCGGTTCAGAGCATTAAGACTGTGGCAGCTGCCTCCCCACCACTACAAATGGATTGTTAGTTCTATGAAAGAGCTCAGCTCTCAGAAATCCTCCCCAGTCTGATAAAGAGAACACGGTGTGAGAAATTAGATTCTCAAGACATTGGGTCATCAGTAAGGTTCGTGACTGTTAGTGGCACCGTAACATCTGATTCTAACACACTTTGGGTCAGATAGTGAGTGGACCAAGTCAGAAACTGATTTGATGTGGTAAATACGCTTTGGTGTGTAGCATTAAGTGGAAAATTCTCCATATCCACGCTCTGGTTTTGTGGTCACAAGTGTGGGGTTTGTAAGAAAGATGATGGAATTGACTGGGAATAATTGCAAAAAAAAAAGTCCTGCTTTTACTCTGTAAAACTTTCAGTGCAGGCTCCCTGGTAGTATCTGTAGGACTTGTACTGATGAACGAAAAACACTCAGGGCAGCAACAACATCTGACATTATTTTATTATTGAAAAACAAACTGTCTGTACAGATTCAGTGCAGACAAGAACTGATAAAATATGAGTTTGTCAGTTTGAAGCAAGGAATCGGGAACCATATTTGCGTTAATCAAACCAGGGAAATGGTTCAGTCACTCAACATTAAAATGGTAGGGTTCCATATCCACTGTAGAGGAGGTTTTAGTGGTGGAAGCTGCCCATTCAGATGCTAAGCCAACACTAGAGTAGGTCAGAGCAAAACCACACAGGGTCAGCAAACTTCCGATGAACAATACTAAGTATGATGGTAATGAGTGCATTAATGCACGTCTTTACGCAGAATGTTTTTAATGTGTCTGTACAGAGTCTGTACAGTCTTGTTTAATCTGACTATCAAGCTAACTGTTAGCAGCTAAGGTAAGAAAAGCGAACTAGTTAGCTGAATGATCTTAGCATTTTTCTGTAACATTATTGAAAGTTAGTCATATTAAAATGATTTTTAGAAAATACAGTAACCCAGATAAAGTTTAGCTTACCTTAGCACCATTATAAGTCTATGTGATAATAATTTTGACATCAAGCTGTGATTTTATTTTTTCCAGAGTTAAATCCAAAACCTTTTCAGCCTCAGGAATGACAAAAACAGCTCCACCCTTCACATGATCAGGATAGCATGCGTCAGGCATTACATGTTCCCCAGCAACACCTTTCCACCGTTTCTCAATCTAATAATTCTAACTTACTGCTGTGGTCGAAAGAGACAGTAGCGTTTATAGACAGTTGTGATTGGCTAAGATGCGTGTGGAGTATCATTTTGCAAGCGGTCAATTGCATCTAAAGCCAGTAGGTTAGAAATGAGATGTGCTGCTAGATATGATCTAAGAATTGAGCACAGGGGCACATTGGTCTCCATTTTGGCTGCTGTTGGTCCTCAAGTCATAAACAAGGTAGCAGCTTTCAGCAGTAAATGTGACCTCATCATGACTCAGCAGTGATTTGACTGATCTTATTGCTCCCCTTCTCCAAAATTATGATTCCATAGCGTAGGTGGGTTAGATGGAGGTTAGGAAAATGCCTTTAAGACTGACATATGTGACATAAATGACCACTGTTCTGATAGCCAGGCCTGTATTGTGCCTCATACAAAACACTCACTAGAACTCCTGAAACACTCCCTAGAACACTCGCTAGAACTCCTGAAACACTCCCTAGAACACTCCCTAGAACACCTGAAACACTCCTGTATGAGTTCTGTAGGCTGAATAGGCTGATATATGTAAATAAATTGTTTCCTTGACATTAGAGATTCAAAATGGGCTGTTTTTGCAGGTTTCCATATGTAGACTGAATAGACTGGGGAGTGAATGGGATGCTTTGAAACTTTAATGATGTTTACATATTACTTAAAACTTTTTTATTTCAAAAACAAAATTTTGCCGCCCTGTTGCGGCTCCACAGCAGAAAAAATCGAACGTTGAGAGACATTTTACAAGAAACTGTTCCACTTTTTAGGAAAAGTTTCCTGCTGGAGATGCGAGAAAAGCAGCTATAGCTGAGCTTAAAGCAGAGCAGAGTAAGTCTGCGTTTCTGTTTATATTTTTGATCTATACTAGGACATTAGCTAGAACATATTAAGACATGTTAACATATAAAATGTTGTGGCTCCCAAGGCGGATTGATTTTTGTCGAAAGGATAAAATGGCTCTTCTTAATATTCGGGTTGCTGACCCCTGCACTGTGGGAAAGTAATGTCGTGCATTGCATTTCACGTTTTTTCACTGCGGTGATTGCTGTTCAATTTGGCATAAATTCCTCTCCATAACAGTGAAATCAAGCTGCGTCTTGAAAAACAGAAGTTTAGCCCCGCCCTTTTACGCTTATGAGTGTTTCAGCCTGGACTGCTTTTCGAATGAGGCACAATACAGGCCAGCCAATGAGGACAGAGCAGGTTTACATATATCAGCAAGAAAAACAACCTGTTTAATTGTATGATATAAGGAAAGATTGGAAAGTGGTCATATAAAAATAACTTCTATTTGTAGTATGTAGAACCACACAAATGTTGCCTGCAGGGGAAATAAAATACAGGAAAATGCACAGCATGCGTCCTTTTAGTGGTAGGATTACATTGAGTTCTCTGCCTACTTCAAAACAGTCTTCTTAGGTTTGGGCCAGCTGACAGATGTGATTCAGGGGGCAGTCAAAACGGTAATTTACCTTCTTCCCAACGCTTTGCTTCTACAAAATAACTCAGCAGAACTCAGTGTGACCACTGATGACTTCTTTCCAGTTCTCAGTAGAAAGAGTTCTGAGTAGCTGATGATTTAATATCTGTGCTGACCCTGTCTCTGCTTTCCTCTTTTACATGCTCTCTCTCTTTCCATCTCCTGTTCCGTGTGCCAGCCGCAGTCACCAAATACACTCAGATCATGTGCTGCTGCTGCCTGACTGACCTGGTGGTAGATGCAGAGAACCTGGCGGAGAGCAAGACCCAGTAATCTCAACACGACAGAGATTTTAGACTTTTGATATCAAAGATATTAGAATGGTTTTGAGCTTCCAGAGGTGGACGTGAACATTGGCACCGTGTTGCCGTCTCTCTGGCTGCTTGTGAAGGAACGATTTTATTGTTCTTGTCCAGTGGGATACTGTGGGATTTTTGCATATTTGTCATTTTGTTCTCCAATTTCTCATTTGCACATTTAGCTGGTATTTCAGAATATTGAGCAATGAGTCATATTTTTTTATGACTCAGAATGTGCGCAGAAAATATCACGTCTCTTTGTTTCAAGGCTTGAATGCAGCTCTTGGTGTGACGCCGCCAGACCAAAGAGGGACGGTGCTTGGTAACAAAGGCTTTGAGTTATTTTAACCCTTACTGTTCTTAATATATCCTAAACATGTACATGTCTCACACATCAGTCGCCTTCTTTCAGTACTGTAAAGAGAAGCAGAGAGAATGGAATGTTTTCATCCTTTCAAGATCTTTTTGTAACAATAATGAATTTATGGCTTGTTATGATCAAGTTATGGTTTTCTACTATGTGACTTTAGCACTTTTGATAAAGGTTTCTTCAAATCTGTCCTCTGTCTTTCATCAGTGATGTGGTCATTGTGGTCAGGGAACCAGAGAGCGAATTATGGACTGTCCATCACGTACACTTGACTGAAATCATAAAGATCAACTTTAGTTTAGCTGTATGCAAAAGTTTGAACACCCCTGGTCAAATGCGATTTTGTTGATGTTGTTGACATCAACATCTTATACAAGAAGCAAACTTAAATATGGTGTCTCAGCAATTTTAGTGCACAATTTCTATTTTATTTGAGTCAATATATTGGAATATTAATGTATCAGTATTCAGAATCAGAATTCATGGTTCTGTACAGAACCATTTTCTTTACTGAAGAACCCTTGAAGAGCCATCATTTTAAGTGTGTTAAATAAAAGTTCATACATTTTTAAAAGCGTGTCACAATAAAAGTCCTTTTTTGTCGCTTGTGCTATGTAACGTTTGAGGAAATGGGAATTAATGGACAAAAGTTGTTTTTTCAGTTAGGTGCCCTATTTTGCAACATGTTATGATTTCAAACATACAATCATGCCAAACTTTTTTATTTAGAATTACACTGTAGGGCTGTGTTCATAAGCTACACAACAACTACATAAGCCTTTCATCACAGCTGAAATAAATCTGTATAGACACTTATAGAGGTTTTTGCATGATCTACTCAAAGTTAGACTTGTGCAAAATTGTGGGTAAGTTACATTTTGGAGTCATTTCCTTTCATTGTTCCTATTGGAACCTTTAAGAAACTGAGTTAGTTGTGTTCTTATTTGGCTGCAGTAAACTTCCAGAAAATAGTCCATGCTCAACTGTCTCTGTTTTAATACCAAGTCATAACACTTGGTGAGCGAAATGACATCAAAATGTTATATATGTTGATGTGTTTATAAAGGCTTATGTAGGTTTGTCTATGGTCATGAAAGGCCTATGTAACCTTAAGAAGGCCCTTCAGTAGTGTCACTGAATTTTATATGCTATATCTATATATGTTACACTTTTTAATAGTTTGCATAATCTGTATACATGATTAGATGTTCGCACCACCTGACATTTTCATACATTTCAAGGCATAAATGCCTAAAATAAATATTATTTTACAACATTCTCGTAAAGTAGGTATTGCAGCATACATTAGTATTTCATACACAACCCTGTTTCCCCACAGGACACTTTTCCACTTCAACTGAGTCCGTCTTAAATAAGCTTGGGCCCAGAGAAGGCGGCGGTGTTTCTGGACCCTGTCTATATATGGTTTCTTCTTTGCATGGTAGAGTCTTAAATCGCAGTTGTGGATGCAGTGATGAACTGTGTTCACAGACAGTGGTTTTCAGAAGTGTTTCTGAGCCCATGCAGTGATTTCCACTACAGAATCATGTCTGTTTTTAATGCAGTGCCACCAGACGCCTGAAGATCGCTGCCAGCCAGTACTGGTTTTCAGCCTTGTCCCTTGCATACAGAGATTTCTCCAGATTCTCTGAATCTTAATGTTATTATGTACTGTAGATGAGGAAATTCTTTGCTATTTCACATCAAGAAACATCAAGAAAAATTATTCTTGAATTGTTGCACTGTTTGATAGTGCAGTCTTTCATAGAGTGGTGAACCCCTCCCCATCTCTACTTCTGAAAGACCCCTCTCTTTTATACCTAATCATGTTACTGACTTTTTGCTGATTAACCTAATTAGTAGTGAGATGATCCACCAGGTGTTGTTTTTTTTAACATTGCACAATTTTACCAGTCGTTGCTTTTAAATTGTATTTTTAACATTACAAGACTTGGACATAAAAATCATGTCATGTCATTGGCCGAATTGCACTGTCTGAACCAGCTGATATGTTAACCGATGGCTAGAATAGTGATATGATCCTCCCTTAATAATAGAGAATTAACAGAATGGCAGCAGTACTGCTGTGGACTGCTTTTACTGGCTAATTATTAAACTGTAAAATTGGACTTAAAGTGTAGATTTTTTCCCCTAAGTAAGCCACTAATATGAACCCTAGCAATTGGTTTTCCCAAGGCCAAGGGGGCAGATAGTTTCCTCTGCAAGTCAACGCTGCTTTACTTTTCCAGATGCTTCTTGCTTAAAATAGATGGCACAGCCTTCCATGAACTCCCGTGGCTGATATCTAATATTATATTGTCCGCTTCATGGCTGTAAACTGCAGAGCTGTGGACTCTCCCTTCATCTTACTTCCATCTTCCTGGCCCTCGTATCCACTTCACCCGCTCTTTCCAACTTTTTAAGGGATTCCTTAGTTTTTTTTTACATGATCTACTCAAAGTTTGTGACATGCATGTAGATAAAAGTGAGAGGAATAACTGACTTTCATTCTTTCCATTTGTAAGAAATTGAGTCAGTCAAGTTCTTCATTGCTGTACAGATGCCTCCATAACTAGTTCATGCTCCACTGTCTGTCACTGATTTAATACTGCTTTATTTTTGACGTCTTTTGACTCATCCAGTCCGTGCGTAAGCCGGAGGAAGGTCAGCAGTTTAGAGGGAGGAACTAGCTGATTTGTAATGTTCCAAACGAAGGAGGAACTTCACAGCACCTCGGAGCAATCTGGGTCACGGTGACCCAGAGAGATTATTGGCGCTCAGTGTGACTCAGCAGAAACTTAAACTGTTGGGTAATTCTAAGAGAAGCATATCAGACATGAGTCTGGCCTCTTTCTGACCTCACGTTAAAGCATTAAAATGTGCAGGGCAGTGATATTTCACAACTAGAATCAGGAAATGCTGACCTGTAGCGTGTCCCTGTGCATTTGCCAACTAGCTAAGTCATTTTTGTCTGCTGAAGAAGTCATGAATCATATTGAGCACAACATGACCACGAGAGTCAAATGTGTCACTGCTGTCGGAACAAAACTTCGTATCTCCAAAATGGTAACTTTACAGGAGAAGGAAAAAACCTACTTTACTTTTAATGTAAGTCAATGGAACCAGACTTTTTTCCAAGTCATTTTGGGCCATTCATCATGAAATTTACACACAATGTAAAGGACAACAAACATTTTTAAATGACCTCAAAAACTGAAAAATGACAAAAATGTAGATATGAGGCGATATGCAGGGCTCTGCTCCTGCTAGCTGGGCAGTCTACTTGACTAACTTTGAAATAAGCTTGGGTTTCACCTGGATGGCAATATAAACATTGACATGACGTGTTTTGGAGGTAAAAGATTCTTAAAGCTGCACTATGTAAGATGATTTTGTTAAAAGAAGTAGCGTTACTGTATCAGAAGAAAAAACATGCTAAAATACAGACATTTTTACATATTATGTCAAACGCACAGGCTCAAAAGAAGATCTGGCTCAAAAGTATTTCTCAAAACCTGGCAACCGTTTATTGATTATGTGAAACCATGTTGTTTTTTTCTTCATTTTTCTTAAATATATATATATAAACTGACTGGCCATAATATTATGTATGTATCTACACTCATTGTCCATTTTATCAGCTCCACTGACCATATAGGAGCACTTTGTAGTTCTACAGTTACAGACTGTAGTCCATCTGTTTCTCTGCATACTTTGTTACCCTGTTCTTCAATGGTCAGGACCCCCACAGGACCACCACAGAGCAGGTATTATTTGCATGGTGGAACATTCTCAGCAGTGCTGCTGGAGTTCTTAAACAGTGTCCACTCATTGTCCACTCTATTAGACACTCCTACCTTGTTGGCCCAAGTCTAATAGAGTGGACAGTGAGTGGGGGGGTGCTGATGAAACCGTGATCCGTGACTGACTGTGCTGTCCTCCTATTGGCCCACGCTGACGGCCATGACGGTGTTGATTCCATATGTATGAACTTGTCTACAAAAGTCCGGCTCCCAGCATCTCCTCATTAATCGAACTGCTCAGGAGAACCTCATCAGAAGAATCCTGGCCACCATGCGTGTGAAAAGCTGCCTGTTGCTAACAGCTGTAGCGCTGGGGCTCTGGGTGATGGCAGCAGCAGATCCACTTCACGCTGAGTGCAAGGTCATCTGGTGAGTTATCAGCATTTTTTATTCGTTTATCTTGGTTGAGTGGGAGAAATACAACATATTAGCAAAGGGAAAGTCTAGAAAGCCCTAAAGGACCATCGAGTCACGTTTTTTGTACTACATTTTCAGTGATAAGTTATTTTCATTTGTTTTCTCAAGATCACTTGATATTTGTCATTACTACGGCTAAACGAATGTTGTTTTCTCCAGATCTTGAGTTGTTTGTATCATTCGCACAACATAACTGACATTGTTTTAGCAATAATGACATAAATATCTTGAAAACAACTGAAAAATAGAGTGAAAAAAAAAACAAAACATGCAAATCCGAGACCCTTGAGGGCTTCCGTGAATTATAAATATGTTATAATACAGAGGGTTTTGCAGCTGTTCTGAAGTTATAACAAGACGATATACATAAACCTAGATGCAAATTAGATTAAGTGATATGATTTGATATATTTTTAGGACCCGAATATTAAATTCAAAAACATTTAAAAGAAATTATCTGTGCAGGGGTCCTTTTGGAGTATGTTGCCTTGAGGCAACATTGTGCAAGAATGGGAAGAAATTATTTAGAGCCGTGTTCCCTGAAGTGGTGAGACCTGGCTTGTGACTGGCTAAATCCATTCCACTGTTGCACATTGTTGCTTCTAGGCAACAAAAACACATGGCTGCAAATTCATGTAATCAAAAAATTTGATAGTGAATGTTAAAAAAGAGGTTTAAATGTGCCCAGTAGGAGATCGTATGACCAAGTACATGCTTTTTATTGACTTACTCAAACTCTTACCTTCATCATTAAACCTATCGTTGTCTTTAAATATGTACAATGTTATTGTAAAGCAAGGAAAATGAGTTTGTTGCCCTGAGGCAACATCCTGCAACAGAGGGTTAACATTGCATTGAGACTGTTGTAGATGGTTGGTGCACAGTTGATCCAGGTCATAAAGGTTGTTGTGTACATATGAAAACTGGAGCCATGATAGATTAGGACTGTAAACTCTACAAGGTGGTAGATCTTGAAAATGTAACATCAGCCATCTATAAACTGAACAGATTTATTTGCAAGGCTTATAAAAGCATAAAAAATAACACCAGGCTTCCTCATCTGTAAATATAAATATAAAAATGTGAAAACTGTTCAAATGTCCTAAAAATATTAGTGAGGTTCTGGCAAAGTGAAAAGTTGGGCTATTAAGCCAGTGAGGTTTATTTTTTAGCTGCTGACGTTTGTAACACTGCAGTGTCGGATGTGGACTTACACCACAACTGGACACCAATGCCATCACGTCTACTCAAGTCACTACTCATAATGTGTAACCAAAGCCAGTTCTAAAACCAAAGAGCCTCACGTTTGAAAAACACCACCAGGCTTTGCAGCTTCTCGTAAAGATAGTGTGCTTTTATTTTGAAAAGCTTTGTCAGGATGTTATCAAACTGATAAGAATCATTTTGAGATAAAACTGCTTACATACGGTCTTTGAAAGATGAGTGTACTCTGTGATAAGGCTATCACAATTATTACACAGTCGCCTGACCACAATTGCTGACTGCAACAATTTTCCACAGCTTCAATCTTATGTTTATGACGCAACAAACAAGCAACAGAAATTCTGAACTGGGTTCATTTGCAGTGAAAAATGCAGTGAAACCCAACAACTTGGTTTTGACTCATCGTGTGGTCATATGAGGAAGGTCATATAAAAATTCTGTGGTGAACTGTGACTATTAGAGCTAGCCCTTCAGTTTGGACCATAAAAGATGAAAACATGAGGAAAAATCCCACCTCATCCTCACCGTATCTAGAACCTCCAGAAGGCCTAGAGTGACATTTTTCTCACGTAATTGGTCCCATTTACTGGAAATCAAAACATGATTGGCTGATCCCTCTGTCACTTTCTAATTATGCTGATAGTTAATCTAATGATTTAGGCCTTCTCTACAGCTCCTGAAGTCCTGACCAATAGGAGAGCTCGCTTAGTCATATCTACCTAGATACAGCAGAGAAAACAGTTCCCGATTGGCGTATTTTTTGCTGGCTGTTTCAAAAGTTTATCCCTTGCTTTCATCCAACACTTTACAAGGAAACAAGAGTAGTGCTGTAATACTGGACAGTCATAGTTTAAATACAATCATCTACTGAATAAAAAAATGACTAAAAATTATAGACATGCGTTCTTAGGTCCCAGAAATCATTAGGCTTTGTCTAGAAGGCCCTGAATAAGAAGGCCCAAAATAACCCTTAGCTTAGTGACCCCTTACTGACTGACTGAAACACAGATAAATGGAGTGTATCTGTAATACGACCCTCTGGGAAAAATTCCTGGAAAGCGATTTCCTAAACAGTGGGAACGATTATCGTTCCAAATCTCTGGCTTTAAACAATTTAAGACGAAATTCAGCCCCATTATTAACTGGATTTTAGCTGTTGTATCTGGAAAGGTTATCGGACGAATCAATTTGCTGAATTCTTCTGATGCAAGACTAAGTAAAAACATGACTGACCGCCAGGTCAAGGGTCAAGGGAGCTTTCTTGCCAAAATGGCATTAGACATGGCATCATATGACTCTCCACTCACTAACACGGCTCTATATGCGCATAACTTCTTGTGCATAACTTCTTGTGTTAGACTTCCTATCTTCTTTATGAGAAACACCCACCTCTTTCACTTCCACTCGCTGTCCACTTTATAAGCTCCTCCCACCTATAAGTCCTGTACATATGGTACTGTGCAAAATTTAAAAAGCTGTTTATTTGGTCACAAATCACTAAAACTAGAATACAAATAATAATAATACGATAACTATGGATTTTACAGACACTGACCAGCCAATTCATTAAGTCCACCTCCATGTTTCTACGCTCATTGTCCATTTTATCAGCTCCAGTTACTACATAGGAGCACTTTGTAGTTCTACAGTTACAGACTGTAGTCCATCTGTTTCTCTGCATACTTTGTTACCCTGTTCTTCAGCGGTCAGGAACCCCATGGACCCTCACAGAGCAGGTACTGTTTGGGTGGTGGATCATTCTCAGCACTGCAGTAACACTGACGTGGTGGTGGTGTGTTAGTGTGTGTTGCCTGGTACGAGTAGATCAGACACAGCAGTGCTGCTGGAGTTTTTAAACACTGTGTCCACTCACTGTCCACTCTAGTAGAGTCGCTCTGCAAATTTCATGATAAATGCACTAACAGAAATGCTCCAAAATCACCTGCATAAAAAAAAATATATTTAACAGCAACACAGACAGTATATCTGATTTATATGTTCATGGTGGGCCTATTTTTGCCTAGTGCCAAGACCACCCCTGAGAGAGAGAGAGTGTTCACTGTGATGCTCGCTCCACCATTTAAGAGCACTTAAATGCTTAGCACTTTGTGCTAAGATGGCTTTGGGGAACTCAGCCCAGCATCTGCAGATAATCTGTAGGGGGCTACCCAAGGAAAGTGGGACCCTGCATTCTGTTGACCTCTCCCCCTCTCCTTCACTGTGATGGCCAGGCTGTTCGGAATCCCGTGTCGGGAGGTCTTTGTGGCTCTGGTGAATCAGATCAAGGCCTGGAGGACCGAGTCCGGCTGCACTGCTGGAGGGGAGAAGTGCCTGTATGAGGTAAGAGCCACTTCCTCCACCTCCCACTGCCGCTCAACGGTGCGAACTGGTGAACACCTCCCTCTCCCTCTGTCTGCCTCCTTCAGCTGGTGTCTGCCAGGCCGCTGCTCATCACAGCCAAGCATACGTCCAGGCGCCGGGACAACGTGGAGGACCTGAGCTTCGCACTGAGGCCCACAGAGCAGGACCTGGCCTGCAGAGTTACAGTAAGAAACCAAACGGACTCCAGAGCTCTAGAGCTTTGACTCCGTGTCCTTTTAGAACCGTGTCTTTCATTCTTCTCACAAGAAATCAGTGACTACTGAGCCTATAAGCACCGAGCAGGAGTGCATTCAACTGCACTGATATTTGTACTGATATTAAACTATACAGTCATATACAGTCAAGTGAAAATAAGTGAACACACCATCTACAAGAACACGTCTGCACATTTTAATACACGCTCACTGTATTTGCTGAATTCAAAATATGCAGAAATGAAACAAAAATGTGGCCTGTGTAAAAGTTATGGCACATTTTATATTTTACCTTTTTTCCAATAAGTTAAAAAATAGAAATTGTACAGAAAATTGCCATATTTTGGTGTGTTCGCTTTGGAGGGGGTGTTGACTTATTTTCACTTAGAAAATCAACAAGACATGGATTTTCACCAAACTTTGGCACACAATTGCGTATAACAGCTTTCAGTACATACATACATACATACATACATCATCAGGAGCAGTAATGCTAAATAGTCAGCACTCAGGAGTGGTAATGCTAACCAATCAGCACTCAGTAGCAGTAATGCTAACCAATCAGCACTCAGTAGCAGCACCCAGTATCAGTAATGCTAATCAATCAGCACTCTGGAGCAGTAATGCTAACTAATCAGCACTCAGTATCAGTAATGCCAACCAATCAGCACTCAGGAGCAGTAATGCTAACCAATCAGCACTCAGGAGCAGTAATCAGCACTCAGGAGCAGTAATGCTAACTAATCAGCCCACAGGAGCAGTAATGCTAACCAGTCAGCACTCAGGAGCAGTAATGCTAACCAATCATCACTCAGTAGCAGTAATGCTAAATAATCAGCACTCAGTAGCAGTAATGCTAAATAATCAGCACTCAGGAGCAGTAATGCTAACCAATCAGCACTCTGGAGCAGTAATGCTAATCAATCAGTACTCAGTAGCTTCAATGAAACAAGTAGCTTATTTCATTTTTGTTTTTAGCCACTTAACTCCATTCACCCCCATTCACTCACTAGGGGGCGCCCTCTCTACAGTTATGTTTCTGATATAATGAGAGAAATAGGAAGTGGCCAGGCTGCCCTTGAATGTCCTCTGTAAATAATTCCTCCAGTTACACTTGTGATTTCAATGTCATTTCCTCAAGAATTGTTTTTGTGATATAATTGAATTGTTGTGGGGGTCAGAAATGTCCAGCTCCAGCACTAAGTAGACTCGTTCTTCTGTTTTTACAGGGCGTTTCCACCTCTGAGTCGTGGTTCATGCTGGCAGACAACGGCACCAACTACTGCACTCTGTACAACTTAATAGAAGGTAAAACCTTTGACCGTTTCTTGATCTGAAAATAGCAGTAGGTTTGAATGGGTTTTAGCCACTTGAGCTGTTTATTTGGGGAGTAAGTGTTTATTTGGTCGAATATTAGAAACAAATACAATCATATTAATACAATAAAGTGATTTTGTGTGTTAAAGTGTTTGACTTTCTCCTCATGGCAGCCCAGTGTTATTGGGTGGTCATCATTCAGTACCTGGTTTGGCTAATAAGTGCTTGAGGAAATGAAATCAAGTGTGCTGGTGATGGAACTTAACACATCCTGGCGCTGGCCGGGAAACATTGAGGAAGAATCTAGAACCAAAGCTCAAAAGATGTCAACTACTTTTTTTTCATAACAAGAAATTCTTGATACTTTTTACCGTATTTGCATTGATTTGAATCTATTCTACTGTTTCAATGTGTTTCTACCAGCTGAAACACAATTACTGCCCCATAAACGGTTCTAAACACTGTTTAGGTGTCTAAGACTTCAACAGTACAGTTCTATAAATCTGCACTTCATTCTCGTCAGCTGTTATTTATCCTCTATTTGTTTTCTGTGGTGTCTCACAGTGCAGACATTGTCCTTATAAAGTGTGTGATGCATTGGATCTCACTGTGTCGTGGTCTGCAGGCAGTGGACTGGTTGATGCTGAAGGTTATAAGCAGTACACCAATGAGTGGATCTGTCTGGACTACTTCACCGCCAACTGCACCATCTATTGATTGTGTCCAGTCACCCAAATGTTGAACATCATCAAACTGTGCACATGCAAACAGGGGAAAGTGGGGGGGGGGAAACCGCACACAGGTTAACATGTAACTCAGGTTTTTATTTAGTCAGACAGGTTTAAGTAGAACAGCGGTCAACAAGTAAGTTTCACCTCCAACCCAAATCTTGCACGTCTCATTCAGCTGATCTAGTTCTTCTACAGGCAGTAATTAGACGGATCAAGCGAGGTGGATTAGGGTTGGAGCTGAAGTCTGCAGGAAGGTAGATGTCCAGGTGCAGGGCTGGTGACCCCTGAAGATGAACATGCTTTTCAACACCTCTTCATGTTGTAATAGTGTCCTCATGAGTGAATTTCACCAGCAGTCAGACACATTTCTCCACATTCCCTTTAAAGACCTGTATTGTTTTAATCGGCCTCTTGGTGGCTGTAATGTAGCACCGTTTTGAAGCATGTAAAGAACTCTAACCAGGCTAAAGTGCAGCCTCCACAGGGGGGTGGGAGGTTTAACTCTGTTACAGCTAAACCTCTCAAAGTAAATCATACAGGAAGTCCAGATCCCCCATAAAACATCAACACATTTCTTTTTTTGGAAGCTTTTTATTGACAGATTTGTGAAAGATGCATTACAGATAACTGAAATAAAATGCATGTCACTTCTATCATGTTGATATTTGCTGTTCTACTTTGTGGTCAGGATAAATTCAGCAAGTTTAACAAAACCTCCTTTCACTAAAATTAATAATTGCTACAGTTCTTTACTAAAATTACTGACATTTTTCAGCTGCCGTTTCTATGGTGTCAAAGTTTTGAAAATAAAATTACTTGAAAAGTTAACTTACATCGAAAGTTAAGAAGGTTTGTTCATTCTTGTTTAAAATGACTTTTAAGTAAGAAGTCACATTGGCACTCCGTTATTGGCTGAATTGTTTATAAACGATGCTGTGACGCAGAAAAACAATACAAAATACATAAAAAATGTAAAATATTTTTCACATTAAAACTACACAACAGACAGGACTGCCCAAAAAGATGGGCCGGATATCTAAGAGAAGCTCCTTTGCATCTCATGAAACGGGCGAACGGTGACACTACAGGATGTTTTACACTTTGGAAAAGCAAAAAAAAAAACAAAAAAAAAGTTTCTCCAACTCATTCAGGAGCTGAAACGTTAAGTGTTCACAGCCTGGATCCCCACAACTCAGTATTTGTCTTCAAGGGAAAATAAGATCTCCTTCACTCCTCACAGAACGAGCAAACAGGGACACTGGGCTACGGTCCAATTTAAAAAAAAAGGAAAGTAGCGTGAACATGCTGGTTAACTTGATGCTTGTAGCCCAGTTTGAGCTCCATCTGAGCTTCTTCTGGAGATTCTGGGGTTGAACGTGTCTTAAGAAAGGAAATCTTCTTAAATGTGTTTTTTCTTAACTTCATTCTTAAGAAAAAAGTTAGGAAAAAATGTTAGTCTTGAAAAAACGTCTTAAGAATTCTTTTATTTAAGTTTTTTTTGAGAAGTACTTTTAAAAACATTCGTCCAAAGTTTTTTCTTCAGAAAGCTTTGAATTTCCCATTCCCAGCCAATTTGTCAGCTTGGTTGTCACCATGCCAACAACAGAGGCGACTGTGATTGGTCTGTGAGTTCATGTTGCTGCTGAAAGTTTGCAAAAATCAAAATATAGTGTTGCATTTTCACCGTCCGACAAATCACGATTGGTGTGAAAGTTACCGTCAGTTATATGTGTTCAAATTAATTTACTGTCGCCAAAATAAATTGCATGAATAAACCACATTTGGAGTGTAAACACCTGTAATGGAGAAACAGAAAACATTAAAATTACGTTTGTCTCAATGTCTCAAATATGAGCACCTTTAGAGTATCTACTGTTACATTTGTAGATGAAACACATCCTTTATTTACTGCTGCTTTGAATACGGTCCACTGTGTAATATGAGAGTCAATGAAACAAAACAAATCTTAATTGGTGGAACAGACAAATACAAAATCTTTAATGTTTGTTTGTGTAGAAATTCTACCCAAAAAATGTTGTGAGATTTACCAACACAGTACTTGGAGATCCTGTACATGACAAGAAAAAATTCAACAAAGAATGATTTAAAAAGGGAAAGGAGGTTATATTAACATAAACATCGCCAAACATCACTGTAATTGCAGATGATGAGAGCTTCAGAAGAGCAGATGTGACGCTGATGGAGGTCTTCATACCTTCTTAATGCTTCGTATAGTTATGCGAAGGTATTGTGGTGGGATGTACGGTAGATACTACATTAAAAAGAAAAAAAAAATCATAAATTTGATACAAAGCCTAAAATCTTAATAGAAAAATGAACATGAAGGACTAGAAAGCGGCTAAAACTAAGATACCTGTTGTACAAGCTGTTGCAAGATCTGGTTGGTTGATGTTGAATTCAGCTCCCTAAAAGTTTTGATCTTGAGCCGCATCGCTGCAACCACGGGGAAATCTGAGAGGGAGAGAACAATCGAGCAAATCAAATCTCAATTCAAATCTCAGTGCTGGTGCACGTTTGGTTCAGTGCCATTTTTTAGAATGTTACACTGACTACCCTCCCAAAAAAGCAGCTTATTCAAGTGTGTTAGTAGTGTATCTTTCAGGCTAAAATAAGTGAGCATCCTTTCAGTTTACTTTTATGTACTTATCAGAGATTTACTAAGCAAAATTATACTTAAGTATACTTGGATTATACTTATAAGTATTCAGAAAAGTTTAGGTTTATTCCACCTGTACATGTAAGTAAGTATGAGAGACTATAAAGCCACAGTGTTTGATATGGCATGGTGATAAGCAATGTTGCCTTACAGCAAGGAGGGCCTGGGTTCGATTCCCCAGTTGGGCAACCAGAGTTTGCATGTTCGTCCTGTGTCTGCATGGGTTTCCTCCCAAAGACATGCAATCAGGCCAAAGGATAGATATATTTACACCGATCAGGCATAACATTATGACCACCTCCTTGTTTCTACTCTCGTTGTCCATTTTATCAGCTCCACTTACTATATAGGAGCACTTTGTAGTTCTACAATTACAGACTGTAGTCCATCTGTTTCTCTGTATACTTTGTTACTCTGTTCTTCAGTGGTCAGGACCCCCATGGACCCTCACAGAGCAGGTACTATTTGGGTGGTGGGTCATTCTCAGCACTGCAGTAACACTGATGTGGTGGTGGTATGTTAGTGTGTGTTGTGCTGGTCTGAGTGGATCAGACACAGCAGTGCTGCTGGAGTTTTTAAACACCTCAGTGTCACTGCTGGACTGAGAATAGTCCATTAACCAAAAATATCCAGTCAACAGCGTCCTGTGGGCAGCGTCCTGTGACCACTGATGAAGGACTACAGGATGACCAACACAAACCGTGCAGCAGCAGATGAGCTATCGTCTCTGACTTTACATCTACAAGGTGAACTGACAAGGTAGGAGTGTCTAATAGAGTGGACAGTGAGTGGACACAGTGTTTAAAAACTCCAGCAGCACTGCTGTGTCTGATCCACAACACACACTAACACACCACCACCACATGAGTGTTACTGCAGTGCTGAGAACGATCCACCACCCGAATAGTACCTGCTCTGTGAGGGTCCATGGGGGTCATAAAGTTATGCTTGGTGTATATGTATAATCTTACTTGTGGTATATTTCAAAGTACACTTTTATAAACTATAAAAATTGGCCAGTTTAGTCCCAAGAAGTACTGAAATAGTACAATTACAAGTAAACTACTAGTACATTGATATTAGTATACTTACTTCATAAAGTACACTTGGGAAACATACATGAACTTAGGTTTACTTAATAAAATGAACTTTATACTTTTTTGTAAGGGTAGAGATGAGCTGTGGTTTTGTCATCGCTTTGCTGCAGAGTAGGGCTGCACGATAAATCATATTTGTACCCTTATTGCTATACGAGTTTCTACGATAAACACATTGTTAAGAGCTGCAATATCAAAACAGTTTAAATTGTCTCACCCGCCGTGCCAGAGTGACACAATTAGACTGGTCGAAACGCAGCGTTAGAACCAAGAAGTGCTTCTTTGCACTGGGCTTAAACCCTGTGAAACAGTAGTGGCTACTGTCACAACAAACTTGCAACACCATAAGGAGCTTTTTGAGAAATTAAATACATATTTATGCATTTTTAAGGCCTATAAAACGCATTAACGTCACAGACACAGGCTAAAAAGGTGGGTCCGGCACAATGCTTAGGCCTTAAATGCAAAATCGACATTATACTGATGAAGATGTGACAACTAGATAATTCACTCACATCCCTCAGAAGACACGTCGTTCACCGAGCTCTCTTTGAATTCTCTTTCAACGCACTCTTAAGTATAAGACTCATCCGCTCAGGGAAGTGGTCGAAGCACAACCCACATTACAAGATGTTCTTCTGCACACTGTTTGTAATTACATATTTCCACCAGAGAGGTCGCCAAATCCCTAAAACTTACATAGAGCAGCTTTAGAGAAGAGGTTTGTTAGATTTCTGTATATATGATAAAAAAGAGTAATTTAATCATAATTTATCGCTTCTCATATCATCATTGTGACGTCCAGCAGCTTTATCGAACACATTTAGATGCACGATGTGTATATATCATGCAGCCCTACTGCAGAGAGAGAGAGTTTTGAGCAGTCGTGAGTGTTTGATCACTTCTGTGCAAGAAATTGTGAACTACTATAAGTTCATATGCCAGTCTTGGCAACGCACCAGGTGGCAGTGTTGTGGAAAAGCCTGGGAACATGGTGGTGGATGTGGTTGATGGAGAAGCAGCTGTGGGTACCAATGAGATGCTTCCATTGCCTGTATGAGATGATAACAAACGTTAAGATGATCGAGTTGTTGTACATTCACACACACTTCGTGTTCCTCAGACATGTTAATTTAGCATGATATTTTGCTCAGCTTGTCTACGCTATTGGTACTGTAGCATCCTAGAATGTAGCATGCACGAAACAAAACACTTCAATGCTATTGGAACAGACCTCTGAAATCATTCTATATTTGGCCCATGACCATATTAGGAACTTCAGGTCTCTTTGGGGAAACATTTTTTTTGTTTGTTTTCCCTAAAAATCACTTTTCAAGTTTTATCTCGTGTAAATTTTTCCTCCCAAGTGGACCTGGATCTCCGAATTACGACGTTGTTTTGCAGTCGAAATACGACTAATGCTACATGCAAGCGCTGAAATGATGTAAAGTAAGTCTACTATTGAACTTTAACACTTATGTACCAACACCAGCTTCTCAAGCAATAAAATTACACTACCAAACCAACTTAACTCCCACATTGGACATAGATTGCTGGTATTTTGGTGGGTTCGTCAGTCTTATGATGTCGGTTAAAAGCACAGCAGTGTTAGCTTGCATGTAGCAATGTTCATATTTTGATTCCTTGATCGTGTAATTCAGAGGTTCGGCCGTAAAAAAATTCGTATGGCGAAATGGATCAACTTAGAAACATTCAAAAATTCATTTTTCCAAAAGAGAAAATCAACTTAGGGACAAAGTTCCTAATATGGGCATGAGGTCGACTACAGAATAAACTGCTATAGGTTGACCGTGATGTTTTGCCAGCGCACCAGCAGGCAGTCATCAGGAGTGTCTATGACAATGGAGCGATGTTTCAATGAGCTGATGGTTTCATTGGATGACATAATTAACAAAAGGTCAGGCTTCTGGCTAATGTGAGTTGATGTACATTCAACACTACTGATGTACATTCACTATCGATTCCTCACAGACGTAAAAACTTACTGAATTACCAGATATTTAAAGGTAAAGCAGACTTACCTTTTGCTATGGTCCACAGTTAGTTTGTGGCATAAAATCACAAAGCCAGACCACTCAAGTAGCAAACAGCAAGCCTTAAAGCTATGTGTTTGAACAGTTATGCTCAAACCAGGAAGCCTAACATGCTAATCCTCCATGGAAGAGTGCAAATTAAACACTCCTGGGCAAAATGTAATGGTGTTTACTGATGGTCGGCTGATCAGAGTCCAGATTTAAGCCCTAGAGCGGTTATTTCATCTCACATAAAACACAAACTAGCTTGGCAATGTTTTTCAGCTGTTTGAAGCCGTCAATGCT